ACTCCTTTTGGATTTGATGCGCACCGGCACAATGGAAAGGATACAGTCGTTGCCTCCGGCCCCGGTGACGGCTGACAGTTCACCTCTGGATGACACATGCTCTTGTGGGCAGAAGTGTTCACTACTGAAACCTTCACTTGACTTCTCGGGCTCGGCAATTGCTTCGTTGCCATCTTCCTCCCTCTTCATGTGGAGCAGAGTAGGATGTTTCTTGGTGCAAATTTCACACGTGGCTTTCTTTTTGCAATCTTTTCCCATGTGCCCTTGATTCAGACACCCGAAACAAAGACCTTTTCCTTTAAGAAACTCAATTCTTTCTTTATTCGGCAGACTTCTGATTTTTTTGCATGCACTCAGAGCATGTCCTTTGTTGCAATACAGACATGGGTCTTGAAATGCATTGCTAGTCTGCTTAGACTTTCTTGAGTCAAAGGACTCATCTGCTGGCGTTACGCTAGTTGCAAGGCCAGTGGTGCTTTTCAGTCGACCTATTGCCGGTTTAGCGCTGGACTTGAACCTTTCTTTTGCATCAGCAGGATCTTTGACATCACCGAAAAGTGGGTCCGAAGCTATCTTAGCTTGTCTGTTGATGTAGCCTACAAGATCAGCAAAGCCAACTCTTCTTTTTTGTTTCTCTTGGAGATCAAAAGCTACGACTCTCCATCTTTCCCGAAGCCTGAAGGGCAACTTATGGACAATGATCCGAAGGTTGCTCGGGCTGTTCATTTCCTCTAGGTACTCCAAGTTGTTTATCACATTGTTGCACCCAGTCAGAAAGATGGAGAAGCTGAGGAGCGACTTAGCATCCTCTGCTTTGATTGGAGGCCATTTGACGGCCTTGTCAACGTAGGCTGCAGCTATTCTCTGTTCGTTGCCATAGTGATAAGTCAAGAGCTTTCTTGCTTCCTCGTAGCCTTGTTGTGCACTCATGTGTTGGCAACTTCTCACCAATTTTCTTGGCTCACCTGTGGTGAATTGTTCTAAATAATACAGACGATCTACGTCGTTGTCTGTCCGATTGTGAATGATGTGCTCGAAAGCTCTCAGGAACGGCAGGAACTCAAGAGGATCACCACTGAATTCAGGGACTTTGCGTTGAGGTAAGTTGGCTAGTCTTTGTTGTGTGACTAACATCTCAGTGATGTCCTTCTGTTTCAGAATCACATCACCGAGTTCAACTTGCCTTGCACTAGGATGTGTGCTTGCACCAGGACGTGAGCTTGCAACATCGTCGTTTTCTTTCGTCACTTGTACATGAGGCATGTGCCTAGCTGGAACATGAGGCATAAGATTATCTGGGATGGCTCGAGTATAGCTTGTAGATTTTGGTCTGATGTCTGGAACATGACGTGGGATGGTTGTAGCTGCATGCATGTTTGTGTCCAGGTATGAATGCATCCCATCTTCCATGTTATCATATTCTTCCATAATTTGAAGCCTTGCTGTGGACTCTGCAAGAGCAGTCTCGAAATCTAGTTTCTCTATTTGAGCTCTCATTTGAATTTTCTGATACTTTAGCTGTGCAGCTAGATGCGCTTCCTGTGCTGCAAGCTGCGCTTCTATTTGAGCCTCTTGCAACTGCAGTGCTTCTTTCTTCTCAAGTGCTTCTGCACGCACCAGTAAAGCTGCTCGGCGAGCTTCCTCTCTCTTACGCATAGATGATGCGTTCGATGACACATTGGATCCCTTTGAGTGTCTGCTGCATACACTTTGTGCTAGGACTGAAGCTTGCTTCTGTTGCACCGTGGAGACACTGTCATATGGATGCATTTCTTCAGCAGCAGGCTCGTAGGCAGCAAACTCACCTTGCTGTGGTGTGGCGACATCCTCTGGAGCCTTACATTCAGTGGCTGCCTGTTTCACTTCTATTATCCACTGCTCCAATGTGGACAAAAGGTTTTCATACTTGGTGAGATTAGGCTCACTCCAATACTGCTGGTCAGCTTTTCTCTCTTCTTCTGACAACAGTTCACTTACTGTGTTATTTACTTCAATAAACTCATTCAGCAATTTTGAGTATTCTCTCAAGTGATCCTTCTCTACTATGTGTGCATTGGAATCATCACTCATTAAATTTTCAATTTTCTCAGATTTGGAGACAAGGCATGCTAAAACACGTTTTCTTAGAGTCATTTGCCTATCAAGCTTCTCTTCTAGGACCTTTGGAGTTAGCTTGATCCTTCTTTTAGTGTTTAGCTTGACATTTTCCTCCATCTTGCTTCCACCATCAGACATTCTGAACTGCTATTTATGTTAGATGAGTCTCAGCAAACTCTAGCACACTTCTGGAATCCAAATAAACTTTCCTTTAATCTTAAAACATATAGTTTTCCAAAGTAAGATTCAAGGCTTAATTTCCAGAGGCTACCATGAGCTTCTTCTGAGCTGATATGACTTGCTAACAATAGCAATTTCCCAAACCGTCACGTATAGCTTCTTGACAGTTGACACTTTGAGCTTGGCATCGGCAATTACAGTTAAACAATCATGAATTTTCGTCTTCACTTGCAAGTCTGAAGCATTGCTTATTTGTTCATTTAAATTTGACAATTTTGTACTCATCCATCATCATTGAAGCCGTTTTGGAGATCCGTTACAAAGTAACATGAAGTCTTTCCTCTTCCAACCGCTCGCTTTTTTCATGAGGGCGTGACGTCACTTTCCTTCGGTACTTCTCTCGTCCTCGGCGATCGTTTTCTACTTAATGTAGTGGCTAAATGTCCTTTCTTGACTTTCTTCTCTTTGACGAATGCAAATAACCACTCTTTCAGACGGGAAGAACGAGTCTACGCGTATTAAGGTTTTAACGACGGTAGAAAACGGTGTATTCACCCCGTCTTTACTGAACATTCTAAACAGACAAAAAACGTCAGTTTACATTCAACAAAGCGCGAGCTCCGAACGTTATCGCTCAGCGTCAGTTTCTATTGGCTGTTTAGTGAAGATCATTTTAAACATTAAAATAAATTCAGATTAAACTAAAATCAATTATAAATTAGCAAAACAATAACTTAGTAAACTGCTATCATAAATATTCTATGAAAACATAGAACCAAAATCATCCAAAATAATAACTAAACATGAGCATAAATTACTCCATAGAAAATGGCACCAACAGTGTCAGCGGCACTGAAGTGAGGTTTGATGTTTGCAGGAGAAGAAGTAAGAAGCCTTGAGTTCACAGGCAATAATTGTAGTGTTTCTTCATGGAAGCTGATATTGCTACACTGAGGAATGCCAGTAGATTTGTGCGTCTTAAGGAATTAACTCCCTGTCAGTCGTTTCAGTCCTGTTCATTTCTACCTGAGCTGTAAATGGTAGTTCAGTTGCAAGCAAGGAGAACCTATTTCAAGACAAGAAATAATTGAAGAAAAAGTTTACAAAAATGAGAAGGAACTCATGCAATAGTATTTTATAGTGTTTTAAGCCTTGTTGTTACATATCATAAAAATTATATGACGTCCCATAACGCCCAAAACCATCAAAAACCCATCAATAAACTGCAACATTAACTGAATCCCCTGGTGTTTCTTCATCTCACTGACCATAAACATTTTGAATCCATGCCACCTGCTGCCATAAGCACTTAAAGGGCCTAAAATGTCTGATCATTCACAGCATCTTCGTCGCCTCCAACAAATTGCCCTTTTCACACTACTGGGCTTGGACCAAAAGAGGTAACAAACAAGCACATGGACTTTTCATGAGAGATGTAAACAAATTTATGGAGGAGAATATGTAGTATTACATGTTGCAATTTATCTGAATACTCAGTTCCATTTAATGTAATGGGTCTTTTTGCCAGAGCACCGGCTGTACTTTAAATCCTCGTTTAGACGTCAGGTAAAATTGAGCGAGAGCAGATCAGTGGTATTGATTGCCTACGCTGGATTATACAGAGATAGAGATGAGCGCACTCCATATTCTCTCTCTGTTACTACATAAAGCATCCATAGCAGATATTCTGTCCTCGTATAGTGTGAGTATTTGTTCACTCCCAATGCGCCATGCTTTCTTGGTGATATATTGTGTTTGTCATAGGTTTATTTATGGTTCATGTTAAATGGAAAAGTGCGTCATACAGAGGAGATGTTTGCAGAAAACAGATGATACAAACAGATAAAATCCAGAGGCACTAAATCACAAACAGTGCAGTACAGAGGAAACATGTGGAGTTTGTAATGAATCCAGGAGGACAAATCTCAACTTTACTAAGGTCAGAGCAACGTACTGCACGCAGAATTAGAACCGGCCAGACAATTTGTGGGAAGCAGTGAATATGATGAAATTACCCCCTCTGCTTCCGACATCCTGTGGCTTTCCACACATCACTTTAACAGAAATAGAATAGCACTTCGTAGTTCCTGAGCTGTGCACGTCACCCTGCGCTCCAGACATTCAAACTTACATCTGTGAATTGAAACCAAATTATAACCTGGTGAAGTTCTTGATGCTTTGAACCATGACTCACTCCCTGATAAATGCAGTGATCGCTGAGTGTATTGGTTTGTGTACTGATGGACAAGGCTATTTAAAACCCTGTAACGCATGTTGTAGATAAGCTTTTAGAATCAATGCTGACACTGACATAGACCAAGTAAATCAAGACCAGGGTAAGCTCCTTAAGTCCTCTGTGACATATTGCTGCTGTGTACTAAAGATATGTATTCTACTGTAAGCGTGGGGTTGGAACTGTCAGAGTGTTACAGTAAGCGATTCCTAGAATCAGTTTTGACAAATCCAAAAGTTTTTTTTTATTTTTTCCTCGTGCTTTAATCCAAGCCTGCGCAACCGGTTTTACTTTAGATAAGATTTCTATGAAGCCAGTAAGTCCTTTAGCATATTCCCGCATGCTTCATTGGTTGTTGATACACACCTCTGTGTGTGACCCAAGTTGTTTAAAGTGTTAAAATTCTTAGGAAATGCCATTTATAAAGTAATACCGATGATTCCAAAACTCCCACCTGATGTATTGTATTGCTTCTTGCATTTGCTGAAAGGCCTGCTCAGCTGTTACAAGCATTGCCCATCTGGAGATGGATCTTCAGCGGGGAAATGATGAACCACCTTCGATGCAAGAGGAAGGAGACCAGCTTCAGGAGCTGCCCTTCACCCCGGTCCATGCCCCTGTCATTACTTTAAGGATAAATGCGCCCAGGTGAGCCTCTCATATTGAGTTATGAGCTGTCCCAGAGGGCAGAGAAGCTCTGACACTGTCCGTAACCTCCATGAGTTTTTCTTTCAGCCAATACCATATGGTGAGAATCCCAACATATTCCTATCTTTTTCACGCTTCCCTGCTCCCCTCTGAGTTACCATTACTCGTGTTTATTTGAGCTGTTTGCACTGGTCTTACGTTCTGTGGCGTTGTGAGAACACACTGCCCTCTGCATCCCCAAAGCTTCCTGTAATTATCAGTGGGGAGGACGTGGATGTTGTGACCAGCATCAGCTGTGTAACATGAATTGCAATAAAGAGACCAGCTGCTATTTGGGAAACAGTAAACAGTGATGAATGTTCACGGTGCGTAGCTTTGAGGATACTAACCTGTCACCACCTCTGTGTAAGAATGGCATTCTAGCATATTATAGATGATTAAAACTTATACATTTTGGCCACCTTAGCACTATGGGGTATATTATAATATGTGGTTGCACTCTAAGATTATGTTGAATATTTATTCCTCTGAAGACATTTAAAGAAAATTATGTGATGAGTGTTGTAAGCCTAATTGGCCAAAATGCTGACTGTGTGGCGTCCCATGCAATCCGCCTCTAAAACACTTCATATTTCACCCTGGTTCTATTTTCAACAGTTTTGATATTTTTCAACCCATCCTTACATCTTTAAGCCATCAGTTTTTTTCACATTTAAAATGTTATCAACATTTTTCTCCGAAGAGAAGAGAATAATTAAAGCAGCACGCAAAGCCACAGCCGGACTGCAGTGTCTTCCCCTTTTGACAGTTTGAGGGGAGCACTCAGTAAAAAGAGTCCACATCGAGTTTTTCACTGGTCGGAAATCACCTGCCGGGCTAGAATCAGCTCATCTAGCAGCTCATGCAGACATGCAGCACAAACGGTGATAAATGCTTGTTGTGATCATATCTGTCTGACAGATCTACAAGTTCAACTTGAGACAGATAGCTTAAAGCTCTTCTCAGCCGTGTGATTGGCTGTCTGAACAATAGTGGCATTGATGGCACCAGATCTGTTCTGAAAAGCTCAGAGATATTTATACTAAATCAGAGGGGGTGGGGGGGGTGGAAGCATTTTTGAAAAAGGAGGTAGGTGAAGTTTAAAACAAAGTTGGTGCACAGATAAGATTGCAAAAGAAAAATGTTTTTCTTTGGTTGAATATATTTATTATTTCTTTACCCATCTTGATTGTGGCACACTAGGAGTCAGCTACTGGCGCCAGCACATAATAAAGTGTTACTCTGATTTATGAGGAAGCAGCATTAAAGTTAGAGTTAATACTCTGTTTACTTTGATGTTTACATCTACTACTGCAACAGTTCACCATAGCTATCCAGAAGGGCTCTCTGATTGGCTTACTAATTGGTGAAATGTGCGCTGGGCAGTATAATTACGTCGCTGGTGAGTATGAAAAATCTGCTCTGTTATTTTAAAGCTACAGTTTGTCAACCGTTACATACCACTTTGGGTAATGGTCTCAGCATTATTAGTGCTGTACTTTGTTGTTAAATCGAGCTTTAATGGAGAGATTTTGGAGTCTGATTTATTGCAGCCAAAATTCTTACAAACATGTCAGTAGAATTGGAGCCAGGTCTACTGAACTGGGACGCTGCACAAGGAAGTACACTTAGCAAATAATGGGCACAAGGAAGAAACAAGGGATTGTATTAGTGCAGGGAGTCTGTAAATAAGCAGCTGGCACTGAAATAATTCCGCAATTCCAGCGTTTGGATCCAGACACGTCCTGTTCAGTTCAGTGGGCTGAAACATCTTTTTCTCTTCTCTTGGAGCCAAAAATATTTTTGACTCTTTTTAGTATGGAATGACCCAATTCCTTGACAAGAAAAATAAAGTCTAAGGAAGTTTAATTGAAGTAGCGGTGCATATCTGATCGAGCCCCTTTTGAAATAAAAACGATGGCGTGAATATGAATCCACAGGGCCTAAATTAAGACGCGTGTTTGAGCAATGTGGAGAAGATGGAAAGCATGAAATCTATACAGCTGCTGAGAAAAATACAATTGACTCCCTTCTTCACTGTTGTCATCATAATTAATTTGATCAAGGCTCCGTTCTGTGATGGATTTGTCACCGTGGGCTCAACTGTTTACCAAGTGGACACGGGCGGCGTTGGTGCTATGATAACATTATCTGGCTGCACTTTAGCCAGCCATCTGTGCTCTGTGTTTATCATAAGCACGGCGTCTAGTGTCAGCACTGAGAGTCTAAGTTATGACTGTTACCATAGTTGCACAAAAACAGGTGGCCGCTATGATTAGAGATAACTGGCAATTATGCTTGAAAATCCTGAGGGAGCACTTTGGCACCCGTTCTCTCTCTCCCTGTAACTATTATAATGCTGCTGCTGCTTGACAGATTCCGTCGACATCCTTATGCTGTCTAATCATCTTTTCGCCACATTCCTGTTCAGTGCAACCGGATATTGAAATGCAGGTTCAGTTTAACAGGATGAAGTGCTGATAAATTGAAATTATATCCCAAAAGATAAACATCGGGAGCAGAAATGGAGCTGATCAAAGATTAACGAAAGGGTTTAAAATGATAAAACAGTGTTACGTTCCTCTCAGATCTTGTCACTGTTTTTTATCGTTTAAAGCAGATCGATCAAAAAAGTCCAGTGCAGCGGGGAGTCCACGTATTACCGGCTGATTGTTTTTTAGAGCAAAACAATGCATCTACAGGTCTTCTGTGCTCGGTGAACGGCCGCAGATCTGACATTTTCTTTCAACTTGACCATTTTCTAGTTCCTGTTCAGTCAGCTCCAGGAGTTCGCTGGCCCACCTCTTCTCTGCTGGCTTCCCTGAAATCGTGGACTGCAGGGGGCAGGTGGCAGAGATCCTGGACCCCATCGAACCTCTGCCCTTTGATCTTCAGCGGGAAGAGGCTGACCTTTTACAGGGAAACCTGCTGGTGTTCCAGTTTCTGGCTTTTTCTAGGTGAGGCCTGCAGTGCATTGACACAATGAGCTGGATGTAACAGGTTGTGTATTATGGTCTCTGATATGTTATGTGTGATCGTGGATGTGTCTCCAGAAAGGTCAGATGTTTCTTTTTTTTTTTTTTTACAGTTTTTATATCAGAGCAGCCACTGATGTGACAGCAGCTCACCAGCAACTTCCTGTACATTTAGCCTCTGGCTGCTAATCTGTGTTGAGGGATAGATCGTTTTTAGTGTATCTTTCAGTGCACTTCAATGAGGCAAGAAGTCCCGCCAGTCATCCTCCACACTTGTAAAGCACATACCCAGAGTCGCAAAGAATGTACAATTGAAGAAATACACATTTCCTGTCAGTATAGGCTGAATTGAACCTCTGTCAGCGTCCCATCACGGAAACCCGTGGAGCAACCATCCGCTCTGTCAGTGGTTGGGAGCTGCAGAGAGATGGCAGGAACACACTCTCCGCTCTTTGTGAACTTCTATCTTATCATCAGCACTGTCAGCAGTCCTTACTTTTGTCTTGTTCGTCATGGACGGACCAGCATGGTGCCATGACCTTTCATGTACTTACCTCAATGCTTTGTGGTTTGTAGCTGATTACAGACGCCCGATGCACAATCTGGGCCGTAAAGCTGTGTGACTGCATAGATAAATTACAATTAGGACTTGAAAGTGAAAGCAGATTATCTTTGCATGTCATAAGTACGTGATGATCACTGACACAAGGGAAAATAATGGCAAACCCGTGACACTGGACTGAATTTTTGGCTCTACTTGATATTGTAAATGCTTTCATGTTCAAAGTCTTCTGCTTATAGTTGTTATCAATTAATGTGAGACTTTTTCATTAAAGAAGAAGTCACAATGTATAGATGGCTGTCTCCAGTGAAACTCTGGTGTTTCATTTCATTCTATACAATGGCTACAGCAGGCCAAAGGATATTCTCATTTTTAAGATGTGTGAAACTCCATTCCCCAAAACGCAAAAGTCTGCAAAGGTTTTGCAATCTACTGCATCTCTAATACTTTTTTTTTTTTTTTAACAATGGAATGCAGTGGATTTTCCAGCATCTAAATCAAATGAAACTTTTGGAAGTCTAACTTTTGCTGCTAAAGTTGCAACCTCTATTAAACTTGTCTATGAAAAAATAAACAAAGGGTTTATAGAAAGAAAACTTTTCTCTTGATTCAGAAAAGTCATGAATCAACCCGTTTGATGTAAACTCTAAACCACAGTTGAGAGGCTGACCATTTGATTGTGTTTGTGAGTGCATTCTCACAGCCGTTCAAGAGAGCCTCTTAGTTTGATCACAACTCTGCAAAGGAGAGAAGTTTGGTATTAATGTTTAAAGCCTGCAGAAAACAACATGCTGACTGCATTCTCAACCACAGATTTTACTAAACAGATTATGCATGATTGGCTGTTTTCTTATTTATTTATTTAATTCCTCTGCTTCTTTTACAAAGCAGTTTGAAGTGCTACCTGCACCCACGGCCTGGAGCATGCTGTAAATTGCATGTCGCATGTGGCTCAGTGGAGAGTGGGGTTAGCTCATAATTATGACAAACAGGTACAGCAAGCAGGAGTTTATGGTGAGGCAGCAGTGACACTTTTTGGGAGCCTGTGGATAGACGGTGTAATTTCAACCTCACTCAGGTGCCATAATTAACATCTTATGTGTTTACAAAAATAATTTATATACCAGATCTTCCTTGCCGATGGACCATACTAGTCCCTCTATAACGACAATCACACACCAGAGTGTGTGATTGATGGGGAGGACACATGCTGCTCTTATTAGATTCCACTTTGAAATATCGTCCCCTGACTGTCTATATTTATGGGGGAACTTCCTGTCTTTTATTTAATTATATTGGATATTCTGAAATAACACCAGTTCTTAAATATCAGTAAGAATGTTGAGTGAAAGTTGTTTTAGGTCAAACTAGAGTTTTTCCAAATGCACATATCTCATAAGGTAAAATTTGATTTCATCCCATATGGCATTTTACTGTTATTTTTTAAATGATTTATGCCACTACCTGTAAAGATTAGTTATGAAATATCATTTATCATTTTATTAGATTCCAAGTAGTTATCATTCACTCCGGCGTTTCAGTATTTACATAATTATTTGGTCATTTATGATACTCTTTTTTTTGGCAGAGTACCATCAGCGGCTGTCGGTCTTGATTGGCCCAGTAACATCTACATCACCTTCCAGTTCTATCGCTTTCCACCAGTCAAATCACAGCAACTCAAACTGCTCACCAGTGACAAGGTTCAGCATCAAGCTGGAGTGATACTCCCCTGTGTCCTGACCCCCACCAACAAAGACGGCACTCCTAGTACCGGTAGGGATTCACCACTTCAAAAGAAACTCTTTATTACATTTTTAAAGTACACTATCCTGTGGATAAAACTGATAATGTAATCAAATGATACACTTCTTATACATATATATATATATTAATCTGTGTGTGTGTGATAATTTTATTGAGCATAAATACAAAAGAAGATAAGCATTTCAGATGCTTACATCTTCCTGTAATGCTCATCTGTGGTCCGAATTGTGTTCATAAGCCATGTTTCTCTACAATTTAGAATTGTACAGTCGCCTCCTACAAAGTGCCACCTCGTGCCTCGTACCACCATGGCGTTGCGTGATGCTGAGGCACTTCTCTCTCCATCAGCCGTGCTGCTGCTGATTGATGTCAAGTCTATTCGTGTAGCAGCTAATGAAATGGAAGCGGTATTACAGCTTCTGACAGAGCGTGATATTGAGCACACAAATACCCCTTCCACCCCACCTCTGCCATCTATAACGCCTACCTAAGCGCCTCCATTCCCTCAACACACTTCAGTTCAACTGTGTCAATATTTCTTTGTCTTTTCGAAATCTCTCATTCTAATATGACCCAGTCTATTTACAGACAAGTGCTGGACTACTCAAGCTCCCCTTTCTCATTTAAAAGATTGAGCTGTAAGATTGTAATTTAACAGGTAATTTGTTCCCAGCTTGTTGCCTCAGCTTTTCCAGAGTTGACATTTGTCTTCTACAGCTTAACTTGCTGAACCATAAAAAACTCTAAGTACTTTTCGTGTGCAAATAAGTAACAATCTTCATTATAGTTTGATTCAGTTTGTTCAATTTCAATGTCATGGGCTGTTAATATTACAATAATAAGAATAACAAATTTAATAAGAATTGAATATTTTACAAAAGAGATCAGCTCACTCTTGAACCATCCATGAATCTGAGGAACAATTATCTGTTCTGTTCACACTTGTACACAGTAGCCATAAATACAGTTACAATTGACCCATTCTCTGTTCTTAAATACAGTCAGGGTTTTTTATACTTGGGCATGTTTGTAAATCTTTTCATCTGTGTGTTAGTGGCTGACTGGATGAGGTACATAAAGTCCCACTTTATAACTTAAAGTTATGTAATTTATCGTTTGATAATATTGAAGAATCTTCCTCTATAAAAATAGATGTTGAATTGAGTGAAACTACGTTCATCTGTGGACTGAGCAGACTCCTCTTAGCTTCCCGCTTCTGTCACCTTTTTGGGACGTCACACATAAACACAAAATCAACACACTCTGCCCACTGGTTGTCGTTTTATTTCACAAAATGCCAGTGAGGTTACCTCATGGTAATGTTTATCTAACAGCTTAAATGAATAATTCAGCTTAGAGGGAGACTTAATGTTCAGCATTTTGAATAAAACCTGTTGTGTCAGCTGCATAAATCCACACTTTGATACCAAAACAAATGTTTTCATTATAGAAAATTAGACTAAACTTAGATATTGGTGGAACTAAAACAATAATGGAAAAATCCTGGAAACAATAGATATTTAGTTTAGTCTCTGTTACATTTAACATGCAATGGTTAACACAGTCCCCATTGAAACTTAGTTAACATTGTTAACTAAATTATTTACACTTTTATTATGTGCATCCAGAAAACATATTTGTGCTGAAAGCATAAGGGGCTGCAGTAGAGACCATCGTGAAGTAGATTTAGTTTTTCTTCTTCTTTAGCTGTGATGGTATATCTGATATCTGGAGAATGCCTTCTAAGCATGGCTCAATCCAGGCTCCAAAACCTCAGTGGGTTTGGGGTCATGATGTTGATTTTGCAATTTCACGCTGCAAATTGTCAATATAATTGAAATTCCTCTGTAAAATGCCTAAAATTGAGTTTTTAATTTCCCCCCGTTCACACCGTCACACAGTGTTATCTACACCGGTCTTCATGCCTCATTGCTGAGATGAGCTTTTGGTCTTGTTGTCTAAGCAGCATGTAATGGAAATATTTCAAGTCAAAATCTGAATTAGTTGTCTTTTTTTTCTTCTTTTTTGTTTTGTTCGTGTGAATTATTTTCCTCCATTTGAGTATTGGAGGCAGGGCCCAGAAACAGACAGACTGACCACCACTCAGAGCAGCAGCAGAGACGTTGAGCTGGTCGTCAGACCCAGCAGCTATGAGTAAATTCTGTCAGACTATCCCATCATTCCAGCTGGGAGCGCTCCGACTGTCACTCGACTCACACTTGCTATAAGAGGCTTTCTGGTCTGTGTGTGCATGATTGAGTGTCAGTACAACTATCACAATCTTACGCACACTTCCCGAGCATGACGTTAGCACTGTCACTCTGATCCTAGCTCAGCGTTAGGGTTACCGTTTAGTGAGTCTCATAAGCTCAATAAATACGTCTTTCAGTTAGTTGTTTTGAAAGGTTTTGAAATCAGAGAATTTCATCGTTATCGTCTTGTTCTTTTAGCAGTGCAGTAAATATTCTTTCCCTTTAACTGGACACTTTAATGCTAATCTAAGACACTCTTCACGGGCTGCAGATTAAGCGATCCGTAATGTTATGACAGCTCCAAATTATGCAGATTCGTCACTACATAAGCATTCCACTGGATGTATGTGAGTCCATAATGCTGCAAAACAGGAACATGCCTGACTGATTTTACTATAATATTATAGTACCCTACAGCCCTGTATAGGGCTGTAGGGTGAACTTTCTGGATACAGAAAGTGACATCTGAAAGAATTAAAAACTTTCCACCAGTTAAAAAAAAACATCAATGCCAACATTAGTGCCATCTGCTTACCTTTGCATTAGGGTTGCTTTTGCCCTAAAAACAGCTTCAATTTGAGTCTTGTTAGGATTTATTATTGTGTTTGGTTTGAGAACGATGGCCTCTGATTCTCTGGGCCCAGCAGGCCATGGATAACTCTGAGAGTCTGAAACTCAATAAGTTGAATGCTCAGTTTTTTTTTTTTTTTTGTGTGGGAGTGTGTGTGCCACCAGCAACAATCAATAAGTTGGGAAGAGTGGAAGTCATGCCAACATGTCAGGACACAATGTTTCTCAGCAGAGTGTTGAAAGGCAGCAAAATGATCCATTTTGTTCCTTTTGGGTGTCAAAGGTCTTGATTTTGTCTCAGTGCTGATACTTTCACTAAACACTGAAAGAGAGAGGGATGAAACCCGGTGGTAATGTCCTGATGGCTTAAATGATCTGTCTCCAAAGCTAATTTCACTCAGGTAATTAAATCTCTCTCTCTAAAAAAAAAGCATAGAAATATGTAAATTGTAGATGATGCAAAGCAGCTGAGAGGAAAGTAAATAAACTTGTACTAATTAGAGCCTCAGTTTGAAAAATACTTTGTATTAAAGGCACAATGAGACCTTTTTTAGAATAAACTCTTCAAAGCATACAGTGAAAACAAATCAATAAGTGAGCTTGTTATTTTTAACTTATTTGTCAGGGATAAGAATAATCCTAGAAATACTTCACGATGTCCACCCACGCCGCTGTTTTATTTGCCTCCTGATGAGAAGACTTTTTTAAGACATGCTGTGACTTCTGTAAAGCCAATTTAATCCTCAAACAAAGTGTCAACAGAACACACATTATCTGTTACTAGGATGATATACAACTATTATTTATCATTTCAGGCAGTGTTTATGTTTAGATCAGTTATTCTTCTATACCTCTCGTCTGTGTGCCTTTTTATTATTGGCATCATAAAGCCTGTTTAAAAATACTACCTCAGTCTACCTTCATCCACCAACGATTGGAAGAACTGGATGTTTTTAGCTGAGATTTACCAAGCAAGGGCTGATACTAGGATACAGGAACTCATATGGGCAGAGGTAGCAGGTGTTTTCACGCCAGATGACTTTTCTGATGTAAGCCTCATGTTAAATTGGGTTTGGAACTGGCACAAACAGGACACCGTGCCCCATCTGAGGCTGCATTGCAAGCACATCGGAGTTCAATGTCTTGCCCAAAGACACCTCGACACGTTGCTTGCGATCGAACCAGCAATCGAACCAAAATCTGTTTAGTGTCTTAAAGTTTTCCTGCAGGCGTGAAATCCAGGCTCTGCTGGAATTTTGCAGCTTTGACTGCATTTGTTAAATTCTCTCTTTGTCTGTTTTAAGAGCTTTGGTTGTCATTTCTGTTTTTGGCCGCTTATTTTTGTTGCATTATTGTTTGCCTTTTTAAACAAAATAAAGGTTAAGATCTGTTTAATAAGGCAATATCTTTTTTCTTCTGTGTTTAGAGCACTCCATGGTTTTTCCGTTTCTATTTTCTTGGCTTTTATTGTTGCCTATTGGTGTTGCAGTCTTTGAAGACTTGCATGACAGGGGAAAACATGACAGAAATCATGTGGCTTTAGATTGCATGCAAGTAGACACAACCAAACCCATTTTGTGACTTCTGATTGCAGCAACGGATCCTAATTTAGAGTGTCATAGTTTATGTGGGTGCACAGCTTTAAATTCATCCAATTAATGAAATCCCAAAAAGCAATGTAGAGCAAAAATCAGAGCTAAAAATAATCTGGAAAATTCTAGGGTGATCAAATCTTCTATTAGGCACTATTTGTCGGTAAAAATAACCTTAGTTTGCATTAGTTTTACGATGTGCCAGAACCCTGCACACCCTCACTGTTGTCCTTGACTGCTGCCTTTAGAGTTTTGTAGGAGTTGTTGATCCCCAGCAGGATTTCCAGCCCAGCAGTGCTGCCCTCTCCATACCGTGCACAACATTCAGGTTACGGTGGAGCCTGCTGGGTGCTGCTCCCCGTCCACAGGGACGGCTGCGCACACACAGCCCTTTCCAGCGCTGGGGCCAGATCTATCAGCTCTTCCTTGCTTGTGAGCACAAACACACACAGCACATGCTGTCTCACTCTTCCGCTCTCCCTCTGCGCCGTCATCGCAACCCGTCCGTGGCACACAGGCCCAGAGCATGCTGGGAGAATTAATGGTCCAAGTGGAGAGAGCTGGCAGGTGGTTGAGGAGAGGGGTGCGGGGAGGAGCAGAGAAGGAGTCTGTGTAGTTTAGTTTAGAGGAGAAAAATGTCTGTAATTACACCGTCTACACTGTATAAGCTTCATGTTTTTATTTATGTGTTTATTTACTTTTAAACAGCCCTTCTGTACAAAAATGTTTCAAATCCCTTTACACGGAAGCGGATAATTAAAAAAAAAAGCTAATCGATTCAGATGGAACGAAATAATTGTTCGATCGATCAGTAAGAGCAAAATCAGAAAAACAAATAACAGGAAAGGCTTTTTGATAGATGTATATTTCAAGTTTTGAAAGGAGACACTGACCCCTGATCTTATGGCAAACAGACAGTTTTTTTCTCCCAAAACAGTGTGTTTTGTTCCATTTCACAAATAAATATCTTCTACACAGGAGATATGACTGTGGGAAGGTTTTACAGAGTAGTGATTATGTTAATGTATTATCGTTAATTATGTAAGATACCTAAAATCAACAGATTTTCAATATGCAACTTTCATTCAAGGGCTCTCTTTTCTTCATGATCACAGAAAATGATCACCTCACATTCGGAAGCTAAGACCAAAATCAAGATTTGGATTTGACCAGACAGAAATTGAAAAATGTAATTTTAATATATCAAACACTGGAGAGGATGTCACTCTTTTCGTTCTGCAGATGGGTTATAATTATTAGTCTCTCCATTAGCAGTGAAGTCATTCAAAAGCTAACTAAAATATGTGTCTTGTCAGACAAAAGAGGCAAAGAGGCAGAAGGCCAACGAAATGAGTTTGGTCTCACAGGAGGTCCACCTGCCACTCATATTAGATGAAAACAATTCGGCAACTGTCCTGTTTCTTCATAAATTCACTGTGCACTCTTCATTCACTTGCAAAAAAAACCCTTGTTTTGTGAGTAAAATGAGGGGTAAACTGTATTCAAAAACCCATAAATCAGGCTGAATTGCTTGGTACAGACTTCTCTTGCAGGTTATTCATGGAGATAGAAAACCGTTCTGTTTTTCTTTTCGTATCACTTTGCAAGCACACAGTATCATAACAAGTGCGCATTAATTTGTCGTACGACATGGCGCGTTCTGCAGTGGGACTATTCCACTTGTGCACGTTGCCATGTCAATGCATTAATGAAATATCCCGCGGATCAATACTTTTAGGCGTGCGCTGTATGAATCACTGCGTGACATCCAAACACAAATGTGCATTTACTTCATTTTCTATAGTACTGATAACATCTCGCAGTTAGGCGGAGCACCAGGCTAAAGGTCCATGTGCTGAGTCCATGTTAACAGTGGGGGGACCAGTGAAGACAGATCTCTGATCATGGATAGAAACCATGACATGCTCAAAATGGTAGTGTGAAGCCTTTTAAAACCTCATATTTTTACGATGTAATTTTTTCTTTTTTTGACCAAACAGGTTTATGTGCATTTGTCAATAAAAGACCTTTCTGTCTGGGAGCCTCAGGACAGACTTTCTCTGAATCGCCTTGCCTTAATACTGATACACACCAAAACGTGTGCATTACTGCAACAGAAAAAAACTGCATTTCTTTATTCCATGTGTGGAGGAAGTTTGGTGGGGTCACTGGGTTCTGTTACAGAGCAGGTATGTCACTCAAGGTCCTCATCGCTACTCTGTTTTTTCGGCTGAATGGGATACAGACAGCTTTGGGGCTTCGATACAGACTTGGATTGATGCTTGTGTGCGAGAATTTGATTTATTCAGTTGGCACACAGATCCACAGTCCCACCTTTAATACACATATGTGTAAATGCACTTTGCCCTCTGTGCCCACTCACTGATGGATTTAAATCACTGATAGGTCCTTTTGGTTTAAGTCAGATGTCAAGTTGGTGCTAAGTTGTTATCCTTGAGGGTCAGAGTATTCACTTTACATTCTCATACTGAATCTGGGCTTTTCTCCTGAGTGGATTTGGCCAAGATAAAACGACTTTGTGTTCGCAAAATAACAAATGGCAAAAAAGATGTGTTGGGCCACTTATATTCCTCCTGGCAGCTTTAATAATCAGATTGCGAGTTCAGCACTTTCTCAGAAAATGGAAAATACTTTTTTTCCCTTTCTAAGTGATAAAAATGGAGATACACTCTACTTTGAGAGGTTTGATCGTGGATGTGTTGTTTAGCCATGACTTTTCCCCCAGCGTTTGTAAAATCACTCCTAAGCTTTTTTGGCAGCACTTTTAGTGCCTTTATTATCTGGGATTGTTGAACCTTGCATAAATGAAGCAGGTAGATCCACCTTTGCTAAATATCATCTTGCTTCCCTGTCATCGTGCTCCCACTCAAGAGAATGACACTCAGTTTATGGCCACTGGAGCAGCTCAGACGTGTCCAAATGTCTGACATTTGTCCCTTTCACTTTATAGACTGGAATTACTGGTGAACGCCGCATTACTCTCTGTCAGTAACAGTAACAGCTATTAAGCAGCACTTTTATTAGTTTGTACCAGTTTAATTCAGTGTTTATCCTTTATATGAACAAAGCGATCTCATACAGAGAGGTTTCTATAAAAAGGTTTTTGATGTGTAAATGTTTTGGGAGCTTTTTTTCATTATTTTGTATTTGTCTCATCCATTGTAAGTATCCTGAATGAAAATGGCTTACGTCTGAAATGTCCTCCCCACTTCTCTAGGTTGTCCTGGACTGCAGGTCCAGTTCAGAGTCGATGAGAGTTTCCTGAGGCCAAGCGAGAAGCGCTCATTCCTACGCTACCTGGCCGACCACAACATGCACATCGACATCTGGAACAGTGACTCGTTGCTCCTCATAGGTTCGACCGCCATCGAGCTCAAGGTGAATCAGGCTCACCTGCATGCCTTATTTCACTTATATTTTTATTTAGAGAGCATGTCACCCAAAAGTCTGAATCTGATCATCTGCAATTAATCACCTTTAAGCAAATATTTGCGTACGTGTCGCTTAATCTTTTACATTATCACATCTGGATTGCTACACAATGCCTTTGTCACAGATTCATGCTGCGTTTGCTGGAAAGAAGCAACCGGGGAAACAAAAAATGATAATAGGAGCTAAAACAGATTTGATTGATCAGTGGTCCAGTCTGACATATAATAGGAACAGATCAGTAACAAATAGAAGATTTTCCCGACATCCAAAAACAAGTTCTTTCAAACACAATTCTGAAATTTCTGTCAACAGAAAAAGACATAAATCTATAATCTACAACCCGGTCTGCTTTGAACAAATATTTAACATTTATACTCTTAAGAAAAAGGAAGCACATATTAAATCCTTAGTAATTTCAAATCTGCAGTTATCGATTAGATAGATATGCCTAAGACCCTCAGTCTGTTATTAAGTTGTTTAGATATGGCTGAAATGTATGAAATATTTCATCAGACAGAATTACTGAGGAGCTCACAACTGGGCAGGGTTTGTTTGAACTCAACTTCATCTGGCTTGCAGTGAGCCAAGTCCCTCCACTCTGCCCTCAATATCGACAAACAAAATGCATTATTCATTCATTTATTTATTTATTCTTTCCCTGTCTCCTTCATGTCGTAACTCCCTTACAATGTCTTACATTTGTGTTTTGATGTAAACCTTACATATAAGCTCCTTTCCTTGTAATTTCTTCATGCTCTTCCATTCTTCATCCCCAGCACATGCTGCGGCATGGTAAATCTGCAGTGCAGGCCCATCACGAGCTGGAGGTGCTGACCACTGATTACGTGGCGGAGGACACATTCCTGACAAGCGCTGATTTGGGACGTCACTCAGCCTCCAATCCCATATCAGTTCACACAATCGTCAGAGGTCAGCTTCACGTTCGCACGGGCAACATAGGCAAGTATTTGTAGAGCTTCCCAACGATTAGTTGCATAAATCACATTTTACATGTCGCGTGTGGACATGGTCACGGCTGATGTTACCATAACATATCCATCCATCACTTAGAAATACACGCATATATTATGTGGAGGGTTGTCAGGAGCTGATAATTCTGATGGATACTCTTATGACATCAAATGAAAATGCCAGGATTATCCAATGAAACCTTGATAGCAGGCTCCCCAGATGGCTTTCCTTCTGTTAAACCGATGGCCTCAGAGATAATTACATGGAAGATAGGTTTGATGAAAGGTTAGAATGAAATTAAACATCCACTGGATGCCAGGAGAACATCTACATGAAATCTGTATCTGTGTTGATCTTTAATTCCCTGATTGTCTAGCTGAAAAGATCAACCAGTAAACATCAAAATGTATGACAAAATTATCTCTACCAGAAATTTGCGAACATGTCACCTTTTAATGTAGCTCTTGAATATTTTTGGGATCTTTCATTGCACAATTATCAGTGTTCCCTGATTGGGGTTGTCCGTGGATATACTGTGGGTGAGAAGCTGTGGGTATTTTGGCTTTTTTGTGGTAACTGCAAAGACAAACTATCATCCAACCTCCTCTGGAGCCTAGCTGGAGGTAAGCCTGAATGCATGTGATGACAAATTGCTTAATAATTGTGTTGTCAAAGTAGAGCCAGAAAAAACAGAGAGTCATGCTCATTTTGGCATTTAAAGAGGCACCTTTCAATAACCCCAAACCGCCCTTCACATCTGACGTTCTTGTGAGTAGTTAATATGCGGGGCTTCTTCCATTCAGAGCCCGACATTATGGAGTAATGTCTGTTTACTTTAATGTCTAGAGTTTGGAAGTAGCTGTGGATATGCAGGAGAGAGCACAAAGGGGTGCGGAGACCTGCAAAGCAAACACCATGCCAGACCTAAAATATCTCAATGTGATAGTACCACTCTGTCTGGCAACTGAGCACATTACCTTTCCCCTTGCGCCCATCCAGTTTGGGCCTGGCATGCTCCTGCGAGGCAGTGGCAGCTGATGATAGCTTCCTTGCCATTTATCACCTGTTAAAATGATACTGCCTCTCATAGACGAGGCATCCTTCACCGGGCCTAAATAAGTTCTTAGCTGAGCCATTGTTGGAGTTAGATATGCCAGCATTTTCTCCGTGTGCTTATCACTCCTAGCAGGTTGAGAGTGCGGCAGGTTACTGGGTGGGATTGAAGGAGGAGGGTTGTGTCTGGCATGTAAATTCCAATCAAGGCTCAGATATCCATCAGGCCGACTCGCCAACAGTGAGGGAGCAGAGGCAAGCATTTTTCTTTGTTTCTGCCTCCATCTGCCACTGACACAAGTTCTCACTTCTCTCTTCGGTCATTATCTCTGCCCTTCTGTTTTCGCTTATTCATTCCGATACCCTTTACCCCTTATTCAACCGCTGCCCCTCACTCTTTATGTGGCTGTTTGTTTTGTTGCTTCCTCTCTCTTTGTATCCATAATTTTTCTCCCTTTTTCTCTGCGCCTGCCATCAAGTCAAAAATGAATCAGCACTCTTATTTGGTGGGTGGTTAGGGACATGTAGCTGAGTTCGATTGGAATGACACTCAGAGAGACACACACAACCATGAATGCTGATAAAACTATTCTCACGTGTCAAGAAGGCACGCACCCATGCGTAAACACAGACATGTAGACAGGCAGGTGTAACAGAGCATGCACAGGTTGTGTGATGAGCCCGGATGGCAGAAACGACAGGCAGACAGGCTGAATATATCACTGGTATCATGTGAGAGCCCTGCAACGAAAACGTTTTTGATTTTCAAGTTCAGTAGAAGGATTACTGGGTTTTTCAGTGGATTGGAAAATTCTTCAAACTTTAAATCCCCTCCGGATGGCCTCAAAAAGTCACACTGGCCAGGTTGAGAGGCAGGCTGTGTACCTTTGTTAACACTGAGCAGATAGACCTCCTGGATTTCAGCAGGCGAGGTAAGGAAATATGTTTTAGAAAAGGTTTATGGTTGAGAATGCAAAGAAAAAAGGACAAAAGAGGAAAACAGGGACTCCATGCATTGTTACACAGTGGTTAGTTGTCAGAGAGTGGCATGCAGTGCACAACGTACTCAGATTCTGCTTCCATCCTGAAATCTTTTAAAGAAACCAAACTCCATAAAGTTTAGCTGGATCATTTCAGCCCCAGACAACAGTTCGAAAAGTGCTTCCTCTATTGCTGAGGAAAACTTTCTGATTTAAAATAATGTGATCATTATCATCATTTTTTACAATATAATTTTACAATATACTCCCCACCATGCGTTTATAATTCACAAGCAACACAGTCCCGACTACATACTGCTCTTTAATTTGATGTGTTTCAGTCATGCATGCGATTAATTATGTCTTTACTTTGTCCCCTTAGGGATTCATCAGAATTGAGTTTTGTAAGAAAAAAATGACTGGCAGACTGTCATTTGCAAATGAAAATGAGTGAAACACCAAATTATATCCTTTTTAATTATAACAAGGTGGGACTGACAAGTAATTTATTAAATAATAATGATACATACTGTCAGGCCTATTCAATCATCATATAAAAAAAGCCTGTATTAATAGCCTCATAGGGACAAAAAGAAGAAGCTCTATTGAATAACAGAGTTGTAAAATCTTGGCTGGCACTCGTGGAGGTTTTGGGCTTGTTGAAGCCTATGAGGTCTTATGGATAGAGAAACAATGTACGCACACAGAGAGCTGTTTGAGCAGATAAGGAAACTATGATGACCACCAGCAGAACTCATGAAACAGTTCAAAACAACAGTACAGCTAGGATTGTGTACTGATTATCTAGGCAGAGCCCTCAATCGAGTGTGTGGAAAATAAAGATGGAGGGGAGGAGAAGAGCACATTAAAAAGAAATGTTTGACCACTGCTTGTCTATTGAATCTAAGCAGTCATTATGTTTGAGCAGCTTTCCAAAGATAGAGCATGGTTAATATTGAATAATCTTTTTAATCCATGATGTCATTATGATTTAAAGCCCAGATCTGCTAGAAATACTGATACTGTAGGCTTAGCAATGGCTTATTAAAAGTGATTAATGTATGCTATCTAGCTAAACGGATAAGCAAAAGCAAAAACTAAAGATGACAGATGAGTATCAAATGGAAGATGTGAAATTTTTAGGTGTTTATGGCTTTAGAGCAACTGTTAAAGCACTATAGAGACATATACAGCTTTTCAGTGGGAGTGTTTCTGGTCCAATTCCTAGCTTTCCTTAGAAGGAAATTCTACCGAAATGGTGGTCTTTTTCTTTATCCACCACTTTATTCAATTTTTTTTGTGCTTCCAAGTGGGACCTAAAGGCAACAACATTGATCTGTTTAGTCCGTTTCAGCAGAAGATTTTTCAGAAAAGTTTAGTGAAAAATACTAGTGGAGTTCGAGGGATGTAACATTATCTGCATATGTTTAAACTATTGAAAACAAATGTTTGTGTGGGTCCAGCTAAAGGTGGACTTTCAAAATGCATGTAACAATTTTTGAGCATGTAAATCAAAGGAAATGCGGCTTTATAAAACCAAACTGTAACACCCAGACAATGCAGTGTGGTGTTGAGTCTCACCTCGTCTTAATTGCACCAAAATGCTCTTTACAGCAGTTTCATATTTTTAGGAGTAACTGCTCTTACTCTCACAGTTCTGTGTTTCTTTTGTTTTAGAAATTGTGATTAAAAGTTCTCCTGTTAAGACTGTGTATCACTTAAAACTTTTCCAGGCTGTTGATCCAGCTGTCATAAGCAGTGCAACATCTAACTGTTACTATTCAGGAAATTTAAAGGCAACATCTGCATGCTGATTTTGGCTGTAATTCCATGTACAGTGAAGTCCTGTATAGACAGTTTGAAGTGGGAGCATTGGAACAATACTGTGTATTGGGACATTAAATGACAAAATGCATCTAACTTTTGTGAATGATTTGTGGGTAGAATATGAGTAACGTCATCATCAGAACTGATTGGGTCATTCCGTAATTAAAATCAAACGAGCGCATTGCCATCGAGCAATTGAATACCTTCAAGCTTCATGTGGTTCCACCAATTTTTAATACTGACCTAGTATTTGCTTTCCGTTTAGTTGATCTGCCCCCACCAAATTCACATCTGCAAAATGTGTAACCGTTTACCGTCTGGTTGCAGTTTGTGTGTCGGTGAAAACAGTTGCCAGCATGATGGAAACACAGCTTTTAAGAGCAAAGGCTGTCAGTCAAATAAACATAGCACTGAGCTACAACTGGCCCTAAGGCCTGTACAACTGAACAAAACTTGAATATTGACCGTTCTCCGTGGATTCATCATTAACTGCAAAAATATTCTGGCTTGATCTTTTACAAATAAGGCTGTAGTAAACCTTCATAAAAAAGTAATGTTTCTTGTAAAAAAAAACTAAGAAATCCAGTGCTTTTAAAATCCAATTTGGAATGGGTTTTTTTTTTGTGTTTGCCCATGGTGTAGAGGTTCTTGCTTGACGGGAGGAAAAACCCATATAAATGATTTTGCTGACTAAGTTGCAGCTTCATACCTTCCCTTTAGTTCAGGTTTTTCTCTTCACAGTCAGCGCGCAGACATGCTCTCACACACCAAACACAAGCAAACACAAACAGAGAGCATGTATCTGCTTCAGCACAGTAGAGAAGGCCGATTAGAACCTTCTCCAGACCTGACAGTGCTCCTCATCTGCAGCAGCCTGATAAGCTCTGGAGAGGCTGACTGCTGCAGCCGGAGAAAGTGGAGAGAATTTTGCCTAAAGCTCTCACAACTAGGGCAAAAAACAATCATGGAAATTTACCTAACGATTTGTTTAGCTCAAAGTGACTGAAATCCTGCACATACAGTATGTCTCACTCATTAAAGGCCTTTGCTGTCGGCACATTAATTCACTGACTATAACAGCCTTGCTTTTAGCCTTGAGGTGAGGCAGAGGCTGCTTATTCTGAAAGGTCAGTGGCCTGGAACGGGAAGGCAGAAGAAATCGAATATATCAGACTACTCTGAAACCCCCTTGGCACTTGCTCCCATTTGTTCTGGAAGCCAGTAAATCAGTGATTTGTTGTGGCCTCAACCTCAAGAAGTGCCAGCAGAGCAAAGAGGGCGGGCAGGTGGGGTGATACAGAGTAGGGTTATTGTCATGCAACAGCGAGAGGCAGTCGATAAATTTGCTAGAGTTCAGCCCCCTGGCACTCTGTTCACCGTTACCGCTCTCTGCACAGACAACGCCAAGCTACAATGCCGCGAAGGCTCTGAAACAAAAACTAGCTCTAATGGCTTGCATTTCAGGGAGGAGGATTATCAGCTCCGTCCGAGTGGTTCAGCATTTAGAGACGGATAACGTGACCAAGAGCAAGACAACCACACCAGCCTCTACGACGGGTTAAGCGAGTTTTATCTGATGAGCATGATGATGGCTCTAGTGATAGCCGATTAATTGCGGTCATAATTGGGTTTCTTGTCATTCAATTTATTTTTATCATCATCATATAACACTGGGCATTCATCTTATCACGTCGTAAGTGGTTTATTGTATAATTCAATCCATCATCAAGCCATTTCTTGACACGAAAGATAGCAGACCGAAGGATCCATAATGAGGTTTATGAAGAAGACGTTTGGCTTTTTTATTGATTGGATGTGGTTTCTACACAGCCGAAATAATATGTTCACAGTAATATTCAGGAAAACATAACTCCAGCTAATACATTCAGCTGAGTGGTGTGGCCTGGGAAGGGAGATGGATGATGAGGAGAAAGCATGGGGATGGCAGACAGCCCTCCCATTAATCTGTGCTGTCTGTCTGCATGGCAACACTACTTCCCCATTACTTATTTAGCTGCTGCCCATTATCAGTTTGTTGATGAAAAGGGTTTGCCTCTAAAACATTTGGAGGGTGCTTTTGGCTCCATTGCTTAAGCTCCTACAAGCTAATCTGGGTGTCAGTTCTGGGAAGCCAAGGCATTTAATTGCAGCTCTATTTCATATGAAAGTCCGAGGTGCCGCGCAGCCTCTCAGACAATGATAAAACTTATTTTGTTCACTTCAGCACCTGATTTGGGTGAGTTGACACTGTAAGTCTGCAAATTGTGATCAGTAATGGGAGCACTGTGAAGTTCTCTGAAGCTGACCAGTTAATTCCTGTGCCTGTCAGCTGATTCCAACACGCAGCCTTAAATCTGAAATTTTACAAATCAAATATTATGGTCCCAGGACTGGAAAAGTATGATGTAGAGTAGCAGACAAGCCTTCAGCACGAGTCAAAAGCAAACAATCCTCTACTGCTGTATGTGTTCTGGGCTGCATAAATTAATGTTGGAAAAACTCATTCTAAATCTTATTTGATTTTCCCAGTGCAAGCACACCTTGAAGTGCTCTTCCATTTGGCTTTAAGGAGAAAGAAAATATATTATTTTTGTTCCAGAGGGATATGAAGACGACTGTATTGATGACATGAGTCTTGTTGACAAGGGACTGAATAAAACTGCCAGGTTGACTATGGGAACAACGCTGTGTACATCATCTATATCAACAAAAATATTAAACTTTGTAGAAAGAATAAGACATTTTCGTAAATAATCTAAATAAATGTTGGACTTGAATTTTTTTTCACAGCTTTTTAATCAAGAGTCAGACTGCATCTATTGACATACTGCCCTCAAGGCAAACCAGACAGAGGCCAAGGCTGCCTATCCGTCAGCAAGTCTCATCAAGCTGCCCGCCTCTTGTTTTCAGACCTCTCTCACAATATCAGGTCACTAATTACTGCTGTAGGCGTGTCTCTATGTATTGATTCTGCCTTCAGCTTGTTCGCTAGGATTTGAATAGGAATGTGTTCAGCTTTGTGGAGTGTGAGTAAAAAAAAAGAAGTGTGGTTTTACCAGTAATTAAAAAAATGTGTACTTAGCTTCACACCTTATTCCATCTTTTTTATATCAAGAAGTGGCATTCACTTTAGCCTTAGGTTGCTGCAGGGATTCAAAGATGATTTAGTCATTTTTTTTCTGATAGAGTCGTGTATGATGAAAAAATAAAGAAATGAAATAAAATAAAAAAACAGATATGTCTCATTAAAATCAGGCCCTCTCTCCGGGTTAGTGTCTTTGCTAGTCATTATAACTTTGCCAACATTTAAAAAAGGGATATCAATTGGTAGACAGATGATCAATGAAATCACCCTGAAGTAACATCAGTTCTTAAGCCTGTGTCAGCCTCCTCATGGTATTGGGGAGCATTAACACTTTCCCCTGAATTATTAGAACATATGTGTAAACACATAAGCCACACATTGTTCTTCCTGTCCTGAGCAGCTTGGACGATTAGAAAACAGACAAAAAAAGTAGCTCCAACCAGACTGATTTTTTTTCTTCTTTTTTTTTGCAGTATGATTTTAATAGCTTCGTCATGTGTTTGTATTTTAAGCAAACCGTAGATTTTTTAATATCATCTGTGTTCAGAGCTGCTGCTCTGCTGCCCATCCCCACAGATGATCCTTTTATAAATGCTCCACGGGTTTTCAGTGAGTTCAGAGCAAGAACCGATGTGGCCAAGCCTTGATTTTTTTTTTTCCTACTTCTCCCTCTCTTTCCCAAAAGGAGTTTATGGTGTTTTGCTCAGCAGTGGAGGAGTAAGACTGTATTCTGGCACAACTCTTCCTCTTATTCCGAGCCATAAATACTCATCTGGTGCTGGTAATGTTGACTCTTCCTGGGGCCCTGAAGAGATGGATCATCCCTCTTCTCAATATATCAACTCAGATCATTACTCTGTCACCTCTATGCTGACATCACAGTCTGATTTTTCAGGAATGAAAGTAGCCGAGCCCACAGGTAGCTTTCATTTCGTTTTGAAGAATATTTCCATTTTTTGCCACTTCACAATTCCATCCACCACACACTCCATGCTCTGAATTTCAGGGGAAATGGGCTGCTTGCTGTTGCCTCTTGTTAAAAATAAAGATGTGGCTCAATAAAGTGATAACAATTCAACTTCCTTTTAAAGATGAGATCTTTTCGAATCCTTACTCTTTTGTAAGCTTTATTTATTTTTCTATAAATAGCTCCCTCAAATAGTGTTTTTTTAACTGTATGCATCTTTAAAGTTTTCATTCTTATAACAAAATCCACTGTCACATAAAAAAAATAAATGAAACTATCAAAAGATGAAAAAGTAAAAACGACATTTCTGAGATTTCTTCAGTTCACAGTAAATAGTCATCAGGTGACCCTACTAATATTGAATATTTAATACGTGTTACAAAAAAAGACTTGAACAATGCCTTCACTTTCCCTGATAACGTGCAGTTAAGTACATTTTTCTTGACCGCTCCCATGAAATGAATAAAAGACCCAACTATTTGTTGTTCAGTAAAGCATTGGTGAATAAAACACCTCTTCTTAAGGTGGTATTCATGTGTTTCTCAGACCACTTTAGGATGGATGGCTGCATTTTTACAGACGCCAGGATTTGGGGGATCAGAGACATGAGTGATTTAGTTTCTTTTTTATGATAACTGCTTTTTTCCCCATAATGAGTTTTTCCTTATTAAGCCTTTATTGTGCCACATTTTGTCTTCACTCTGACTCACATACACATCTTCTCACAGTTCAGTGAGTTTACTTTAGGCTTTGCAAACTATTAATGTTTTTCAGGCCTCTTGCAGAGCTTTGCAATATTTCTAATTTTTTATCTTCAGAAACATCTTGCTTGCTCCCTATATTTCACAACATCTGAGGCCTGCCTAATTACATGAGGCAATGGCTGAATCAAAGCTTTCCTTTTATTAAGATAAACTGTCAAACTCATTAAAACCCCGAGATTGATAACTACTCCGTAAAACATGAGGGATATAAACAAAAAACCAAAACTAAACGTTCATTCCGCTGAAATCCTTCTGAAGTGTCATTGGTATGAGGATTTTGAAAAATTCATTAGACAGATAAGGATTAATTTCTGCAGTCTGTAAATGTCAGTATAGAAGAAGCTGATGGGAGTCTCCCAGAGGAAGTCTGAGGCCTCGGCTCTCAACCAGAAAAGGGTGAAGTGCTCCCCCCGGGTTTGAGATGGACCCCTGTTTCAAGTGGAGGAGTTTAAGCGTGATGGGACCTCCGTTCAGAAATTAGTTCCCGTTGGAAGGTGGCCAGTCTCAGCAAAGCTGCTACTCCGAAGCATCGAGAGCAGTTAGCTAAGGTGGTTCAGGCATCTAATTGGATGCTTTCCGGCCGACTCCCTGTGGATGTCTTCTGGCACATCCAGGGCAGACCCAGAACTCTCAGGAGGGATTTTCTGTGGTCAGGGCATGACATCGGGTTCCCCCAAGAAGAGGAGTAGAGTGCTACTATAGTTCCTTCCTGGGTTTTGGCCTCCATGACCTGACCTAGAATTTGCAGGAGGATAGATAGATAAATATATGTTCAAATTTTATGGGTTGAATGTTATTGAATATTTGATCTCTTCTCCAACAGGTTGTTCAGTAGATCCCTGCAGGAGGAGGGATGAGATGCCAGCTTATTCTCATATCATCACACCTTGTGAAGTCACCAGCGGCTTCAGAGGAGGAAGCCTGTCTCCCAGAAACATCCTCCAACTCAATGGTCAGCACGCCTGTCCTCAGCCCGCTTAGTAGAGTCTGCGTTTTTGCTCCAGCATGTTGTGGTTTCTCCACTCAGTTTCTGTGTGTCTCTATGTGTGTGTTTGTGTAAGTCCTGCACCGTAGACGAATTATTGCCCTTCACTTTGGTGTTAGCCGTACAGCCGACTTGATGCTGAACCAGATACATTTCGCGTTCTCTCTGTTTGGCTGGACCACCAAAGCACTCAATTTTAAAGCTTATAGAGTGTGTGCTTATGTGTGTGTACAAACTATCCAAGCCAAGACATTCATTCACATTTGCAGAAAACAGTAAGTAACAGTACAATAAGAGAAAATTGCCTGAATAAATAATACAAGTTTATCTGACAGGCTTGGAATTACAAACCAGGGCATGTGAATTATTTCAGAAACCTCAGGAACTTTAACCACTTGGTACTATCGTAGCTTCCACAGTGCATTAATTATTTTATTTAAAAAAAAAAATTGCAAATGAATTCATGGAGAGAACTCACTACACTACATGCTGTTGCGATCGGTTTCTTCCCGGCTCTTGTTACTGTGCACAGCCATTCTGCTCACTCTTTACTCCGCTCCCCATCTTAACCTTCTCCCCACTTCTCTTCCCTGCTAGGCTCTGAATTCTCCCCTCTCCACCTAACCGTGCCATTTTAACATACAACGAGCCTAATTGCTTCTGCTGGAGTCCAGTCACAACAGCAAGACACGGCGAATAGAGCAGCTACTCTGGGCTGTGTGTTTGCTCTTGTGCTCATGCATTAGCGAGTGTGTGTGTGTGTGTTCCCTGTGTGTCGGGCTCCTGCCCCACTTCTGCCTGCCTGTGGCTGTGAAGGATGGACTGTAGCCTGGCACTATCAGGTTAGCTTGCTGGCATTGGACCCAGTGTTTCTTTGATAATGAGAGCTGGGAAAAAATGTCCAGGGATAAAAAGCGATACCAAACAGAAAGGGGAGCAGACATCCAAGAGTATGTTCGCATAGAATATAGAAATGTATGAGTGGTCAAGAGATCACAGAGTTTCATGAGTTCAATCAAGATAAATTAGCTTGATGATAATGAAGGCGGTATGTTTTTTTTTCATGTGTTTTAGATTAGTTTTTATCCACTTAAGTAATGCTGAAACATATACTTAGTGCTTTTTTCTTTTTTACAGCTTTCATCATCAGGTGTTATTTGCTGTTTTTCCATTTATGATACACATTTCAACCTGAAATTAGCTTTTTCAAACTGGACTATTCAACTTTTACGGAAATTGGCTGAAGATTGCTGAGACTGCCTGTCCACTGTGTTATGCTGACAGCTAAAAAGGTTAACTTGAATCTATAAAATCGAGTATAAAGAGATCAGAGATGAGAGAAGCTGTTAATTATCAAACATCCAATGTTGAGAGGAAGTTCAGTTCACCATGGCCACCTGACCCAGGCTGAAAATTAGCGGAAACTATCTCAAATTGTGGCTTTGGGATAAAAATCGCCACTGCAGAGGATGGTGTTTTGCAGCTGTTGAGCAAAAGGTGGTCTCACATCCTGCTCTCACATTGGGGTTTACTGTGGAGCAGTTGGGCATATTCCTGTCATTCAATGGCTTCTTGCAGAAAAGCATTGCAGCATGGGAGTAGCAATTTTATCAGGTGGTAAAACTGGTGCTTGAGAATTTGTATTGATGGGTTGAAAAAGCCGTTTAAAGCCATACCTCACACAACTGTGAGTTTGCTTGGCTCTTTTTTTTTTTAGTAGAGCCTTGGTCCCTTTTTAGCTGACTTATATTGTGCATTATGTGCATTGTGTATTTGTTGTTTTTTGTAGCAAGGTAAGTTTATTTAAGATTAAATAAGATTAATTTAATAGAATTAAGACAATTGTTTCGACTTATAACTGGAAGGAAAAAAGGATTGAAATCAAAGACAAGGTAAAAACAGTGTGGACACTTTCTCGTGAACTCCACATGTCCGTGTGGTCCTGCAAACATTGAGACATTGCCCTGTCTTAGGTTTCCCCAGCGCCCGCACTTCAGCCAATATGAGAGCCTTACAACTGTAGCATTTGCATTATTTGCATTTACACCTCCTACAGTGTTTCTCTGTATTTTTCCAATAAGTGAGAACAGATGATATTGGATGATACCCTGACTGCATGGATATGTGTGGAACTGATGTGTTGGGTCACCTTTACCATAATTACTACAACATTGAAAAGATGGAGGCAATCGTTGGAGATGGTGTCAAGAAAAAATTAAACCGAAACGTTATAAACTGGAAACAAAACACAGAAAGTAAACCAATCACAGGTATTAAAGCCAGACCTACTGAGACGTGTGGGTTAATAGTGATGGCATTTGCTTTTTAAACAACAAACACGAACCATGAATCAGGTTTCTGTTCACATGTTTCTATTTTTAAAGAGACACATGGTCTATTGAAACTGTAATTAAATAATTACTTTAAAATGTGACTTATTTAAAACAGAAATGGATACAAAAAACTATTTTCTATCTCAACTCTGACCAGTCAACGTCCACAGCAACATTTTGACTACACTCTTCACTCATGACACACTCATGAAAACGTGTTCAGTTTGTATTATGAGTGCTGCAACATTTCAAAGGTTTGATTAAAGTTTGATAGGAAACTGCATGAAAGGACGTGAAAACTGTAGGAATCTGATTAAGAATCATAAGAACGCTACCGGCCAACACCACTTCATCACTTTTACATTTGACACTGAAATAAGAAAATTAAGAGAAATACTGAGCAGACACACAGTCTCCATGCAGAAACAGTAAATCCGTTGCACAATACACAAAGAAATGCGTACGCGTTATAGTTTCCCACTCAGGTTGTACAGAACAACACCGCAGAACTGGGTTAATGCACAAGGGAGGTTTCCAGTCAACTGTACTGGTGAGTATGGTGGGAATTAGAAAATGTGTAATGTCTTCTGTATGGAACACACATGCATTAATGTTCCTGAGCAGCTGAATAAAAGGCTAAAAGGCCACTTTACTGTTTTTTCTCCTCTTCCCATCTCTCGCTTCCATTTACCGATGCACTGCATGTGTTTTTTATTTATTTCCCCTTCCCCGAGCTGATTTTTTTTTCTTTTTTAGATTTATGGCCACTCTCAGTGAGTCTGAGTTTATACTATACCCACGGCTTTAATGTATACTCCATCACATGGCTGCAAACCAGGGGGGAATAAGTGATGCTATTTTTTACATAACAAGAGTGCCGTTTCAAATTTGTTAATGTATGAGCATGGTTCAAAGTGCAGGATTAGGGTAATACTCCTGTCAAAATTGTTAAAAGCCACTGGCTATTAGCAGATCCACTGACGAGTGCATGAATCACACATATTAATTAGGCATTTTTGTGCTTAGTAAATTACATAGAGGTAAAAGAACATCAGGACGAACTACTTCTTCTCACAGCAGCAGGTTTTGGCACACATGTAGTAGTGCCCATCTTTCTCCTTTACTTTTGTGGGGGAAATTGTAATAGATTTCCTTTTGTCCTTTACTTTAATTCACCATGGCATCCTGTTTCTACATCACAGCAAGGAACAGTGCACAAGTGTGCAGGCTGGACACCAGTTGGGACCAGACGCCGCCATTTAGACTTGACGCCATCACACCCAATGAGCGCAGCCTCGGTGACTCCAACAGTGAGCGCCGAAAGTTGGACTGCATGGCTGCTGTCCGTCAACGGGAGGCCATGGAAGCTGCTAAAGCAGCAAAATTCACGGTGAGGTCGAAATTTTTCACTGAGTCTTTAGCCAAAACACAGAGGACTGCCATCCTTTTTTTCTTGTAAGGGGGCATTCTTGGACACATGCCCTCCGATTTCCCTGTTTCGAAGGCAACGTGCCCCATAACCTTTCCTTTTTGTGACTGCATAAAACAATATCAATTATATTTTCACATTTGGCTGCAAATGCTGTGTGATTTTGGCAGTCGTGCATGTGAGCCTGAGACATTTTACACCTCACATTTCCTCAGGGAGGACCTTTTCTTTTAGTTTAATTTTTCTGTAACAGCCAATACGTTGTTGAATAGAACCATTCACACAGAAAGAAAGCTGTATGAGTCGCCTTGAAAATTCATTTGGTTTTTACTTTTTCTGGATTTATGGATTATTTCTAACATTTTTTAGCATTTTTGCACAAAACTAGACCTTTGGAGCACCTCAATATAATTTCTCATACTGACCTTAGATTTTATTATAACCTCTATATTATCTAAGGGCTTCATTTCCAGCAGACAAAACCACACCATGCCTATGACTCTCATTCCATTAATTTCATTTAATAGTTATCATGATATTCAAAGTGATCGAATATTAATGAGAAGTTCAAACCCACCTACGTCTAAATGTAAAAAATTGATAAAATGTAGATGATGTTGAATCATTTCATAGATTTTGGTCAGCTTTGTTGAAAAACCTATTTTAAATCATGCATTCTTTGCTGAAAATACATACTGTCATGTTTTGAAAAGGTTATTCCCTGACCCCAACGCGGGGCCGGTGTGGACGGTGTGTAGCAATAACCCTCCCTGCAAAACACTCATTCAAAGCGCAGCTCGTCCCACCTGCAGAGTGTAATCAAAGCAGAGGCAGTCAGCTGTTAATTTCAGCGTTGAAAGGTCATGTAGAAAATTATGATTTCAGACAAACAGGCATTTTATTGTCTCACTTTTGGGCTGTTGTTTTCTATCAGCTATGATGACATTTTCTCTGCAAAGTTATTCACACACACAAAATGCAAGTGTTACACTTTAAGCTACACAAGAGACTGCACATAATTTAAAACTGAGTGGAAAGTTGGGCAGGAAAATGTTTCAAACTCAGAGGGAACATTTTGGGTATTGATTCAAAGTGCAGCTCTAAAACATTCATCGCTGTTCTTCTCTGGTGTTAGGGACACACTGAGGACTCCCTGTCGGGCAGACAACTTTATCAAGGCAAACTCAGCGAAGAGCACAGCAAGGCAGAGGGAATCGCCAACATGCTGAGCCTCGCCATCACCACCCAGCACTTCCTCTTTGCTAGTCTGGGTTCTGCTGAATACATGGAGTTTGTCCTTAAAAATCCCTTTAACGTACCTCAGACGGTCACCGTTTACAGTGATGACCCAGAGCTCAGGTAAGTTTCCTCACAAAGAATCTTTCAAATTGCTGTCCTTTTCAGCTTCCTGTTTGTTTAGGACAGTTACATATATCATTAGCTCTGCTGAGAGTAAACTTTAACACTCTCCTCTCTCAGAAAATAGTACAAAATGATGAGGAGAAGATATCTCCAAGTATATTACCTATGGCTACCTGCACTTTTAAAAAAAAAAAAAAGCCTAAAGCCAACACATGAGACATAGATCAAACTGAGAAGGTTTACTGGGCACTCACGTTGAATTTAATATTGTTTCAGAAACATTGGCAGAGGTGTTTTTTACCCTTTATAAACAATCTGTTAACTTTTGGAAAACAGAAGAGTCCAATTGCAACTTATTCTATTGGGCTGAGCACACCCCTGCTGTGTGATGGAACAAACAATCAGAATAAACATTAATGAACATGATGAGATTAAAGCTCATTAAGAAACTAATGAACAGAATGTGAAATCAATACAATACACTAACAGTGAAAATGTGAAACAAAACAAGTGTATATGATTTCTTTATTTTTTGAGACCCCCTTAAAGCTGGATGGGTGTTACAAATTCATCGGTGGTCTCCAGGCTCACACACACACACATGTGCTTCTGTGCCATTTGTGTTTTTCTGTTATCAAACAGCAACAGGACTGGCTCACCATGACTCTGCGCTCACACATTCTGAACATGTTTCCAATGGTAATGGTAAAGCTCCCGGACCACTTTTCACTCTATTTTAGAGAACGGGTTTGCATCTACTCACTTCAAATAGAGACCGTGGCTTTTTTTAAGTGAAGCTATTCAGATATATTTGAAAAAAAAAAAAAAATTAAAGCCCCGCGACCTCTCTGCTCTGTTTATGCTATGACAATATATAATTATCAACATATTAACTGCCTTTGCTATTTCTATTGTATTATTCTTTCTTTTTGCAGCAGAATCATTCTAATCAAGCTGCCTTTTGAATTTAGGTTTTCACACAATGTATTTAATAGACATTATGTGGTATTTGTCAATTAATTTTCACAGAAAAACATACATAGACTAAGTAAAACTTTTCAACAATGGCCTGGTTCTTCTTGCCATGCCTCTTTCTTCGCTTCCATTTTTAATGTGGGATTTGTAACAAAACTACAAACTATGATCGGTAAAATAAAGGAACTCTGCAGAAATGCATTTTGTTGCCGCATTTCAACCTTTTTACTCCCCACAAAAATCAAAATTTTCCCTTATTTTAAGAGCGCTCTGAAATTTAAGTGTGCAACCAAATATTGTAATTCTACAGGTCTCTAAGATAGCTTCGTTCCTACAATATGTATCAGCGTCTCGCTTTGCTAATCACACACACCAAAGGCCTACAAGCAAAGATGCCTCTTACTCCTTCTGCAGCACAAACACTTGTCCTTGACACATATGCAAACATTGTGCTGGTAATATCCCCTTTAATCCACACATAGCAGCTATTATGGTGATATTTCCTGCATCACCTTTTCTTGGTATCCATGCCTGGCCTGTTTCTTTTAGTTAGCATCGGTGTTAATCCCTGCTCTCACAGTCTTTTGTTTCGGATTCTGCTCATGCCTGAGCTTTGGATAAACATATATCAGATTGATCAACAAAGGCGGCAGTGCACCGTGGATGAATCATTATGGCATTAGCCCAGCCGCTGGGCCTGCTCTAATTGAGAGTCATCAATCCCTGTATCTGTCCTCTCGCTGGCTTAGCACCCTCTTCGTTTATTTATTTCTTGATGAGGCAGTGTGACACCTTACACCGAACCGTCTGTCACCTCTACCAAGTCCCTGAAATGTGTAAATGAGGAAGGAAGCATTCGATGTGCTTCTTCTGCAGCGCTGTGGCTTTCAGGGCTAAAAGTTCACAAACTAGAGCACTGCCAAGAAGGCTTTTATATTTTATGATATTACTGTATTTTATCAAAGATCAGCAGGACCTCGATGTGAGCTGCACTCTAGTGTGTTTTAATGTATGTGACTGCAAACTCGGTGATGTCTTTAATCATTATTTTATGGAGTTGTTTAAAAGATTTTACTGGAGAGTTTTGAATGATAGAGAATTTAGCTGCAATTTTGCTGTCAGCTTTGACTCGATGATGAAAAACTGTTTTGTGAATCCACTGTTGGCACGGTTTCCTTTTACAGGACATGAACTCTGTTTTGTCTGCATTCTAAGAATATGTGGCCACAAATTTGCTGTGCAAGCAGGCCTTTGAGTAGGCCATTTAAAAATAGAACTTAGCCAGTCAGCTGCATCTTACAGATTAATCCTGACTCATTACTGTACTTTTGGGTTGCACTTAATTTCTTTTGTGACAAAGGGAAACAACACTGTGTAAGACCAACACACAGTTGCCCACAGAATTAGGTTAAAAAACACAGCATAAAAGAATGAATTAGTTTGAGTAATAAAGTTTACGCAATTTGTGGGACAATGAGACAGCTCAGAGGGAGCAAACACCTCCACATGTTCGAAAACACGGTTGCAAATGCAATGCCTATCGGACAAATGTAGTTGTGAAAGATGACAGTAATATCATTTTCACAATTACAATCAACTGATTTCACTAGTTGTTGTTATTCCTCAAATTCTTTGTGAAATAGGAAATCAGATTTCCATTTTCCGCATGTGCGAATTCAAAAGTAATCTTTACTGAATCTGGGGTCACTTTTAATTGGTAGCCTATGTGATCAAATCTTATATAAAGTCATATCATTTCTTAAAGATGACAAAATACAGTAGAGTGTTCAAGAAACTTTAAAAAAGGATTGGAACTTTTTTCAGAGCCAAAAATAATCCCATCATACACAATCCCAGTGTACTGTAACCCTGTGCTGTGAATACCGTTGTATATCTGTTGAGATTGACAGAAATGATCAGTGGAACTTGTTATATAACGAGGCTCAGTGAAATCGTCCGAAGCACAGTACCTGTCCTGGACTAAATTAGCCTCACCTTGGGTACTCTGCTGTTTCATCCTCGTCAATATTTTCATCCAATATTTGATGAGGACATGCCTTGAGAGCACAAAGAAAGCTTTGGGTTAGCTCTTTGTTCTACAGACACAAACAAGAAAGAAGTCTGACCCTCACCCAGAATTCCAGCATCAGACTTTGAAGAGAGATGAGTACTTAGTGAAAGACAAGGCCAGCCTAAGCTTTGATGTGTGCCCAGGTTTCAAGCCCAAAGGCTCCTCTGGATGGGGAGAGCACATTTACTACCTGTTGCCATCCATTTTTAATGGAAACCTTTTTCACTTGGCCTGACAGAGCCTAGCATGAGTGAAAACTGATGGTAAACAGAATAATAGGAGACCGGGTCCTGGGCTCTGTGATGTTTCTTCTCTCTGTCAGCATTCCTCCCTCGATGTCATCTCTGTCCGTGTTTTTAAAATACTGAATTCTTCCCTTTTTCTCTCTTTGCTATCATTTTTGATAATCTGCATCTTGTTCATTTTCTTTTCTCTGATTTTCTCTTTGCCATCGGATTGACCTCTTTCCTGTCTGTATTGTTATATTTGATTTCTTTTTAAATTGATCAACCAACAGATTTTAAATGGAATTGCAGGTGAAACAGAAACGCAAAAGCCCTCTTTGTTAAATGTGCCAAAGGCCAAACGTCTTTCTTCAGCTGCATAGGAGGGAATCTCCTGATAAATTTCAGGAAATTGAGTGTGGCATCTTTCCCTAATGTTAGCAAGGTTGGGCTCTGAAAAATTCGAAAAGTCTTGGTCCCTTATTGAGAGAAATTCCCCCCTCAGTGCCTGTGGCCTGGAACCTTTGAAGTCTAAAGCAGCACTTCCCTATATGCATTTATGTGAGAAATTTTTCCATTTAAAGGAAATGGAGGGAAAGGAGATGAGGCTTCCCTCTGTTGGAATGCGTTATCTGTTTCTGTTCTTCGCTCCCTTTAAATCCATTTGTCGAGGACTGAATTATATCTTTCAATGGCTACTTTACACCTATTTTATACCTAATTAAAAACTAACCACTGCATGGGAATGTTGGGACTGCCCTGCTTCAGAATTTAGTCATTTTCTGCAGCCTGGCATGTTGTGAGTCCCCTCTGACAAGTGTCACGTTACTATTAAAACAATTTTATACAAAAAAAAATATCTCAAACAAGCTTTTATATTACAATACCCAGTGTATACGTTTGGCTTTATGTCATCCTGGCATGATTTCAGTCACTGTGTTCGTGAACTGTATTTTAAAGAATATGTGCTCCATGTTCATACATTCACTGAAGATTTCCCCTGTTTGAAAACTTCATACTTTAAGGCTATTTTTGTTGACAATTTTTTCATTTGTACCAATAAGTGTAAATCTGTGGATTAAGATATAGATTTTTTTAATACAGGGATTAAATTCTGGTTATTTTGACCTCCTCCTGCTGTTATTACTTATTTATTGCTCAAAGTAAGTATGCATGTAGGAGAACTGTCAAACACATTTCTGACCTGTTCCAGTTTGACTTTCGATGCTTCGTCGTGTTTTTAGTCTAGAGGGGATAGGATCTGCACAAAATGCTGTAACCTTCTGAAGGAGAGGTGTCTAAACTGACTAAACTCCAACCAAAACATAATTTGTTATATCTGTGGGCCAAAATAAAACCCGGTGAAAGGTGAGACCAGGATAGCGAGGCGTGTTATTGATGTGTTATCTCTGCTTTCTTTTATTTATTTTTTATTTCACAGCTCCTCATTCCCTCAGATCGAGATGCTCATTTCAGCATATTCATTACAATGAGAGCTTTACATTTCTATACAAACTATTCCAAATACATACTTTTGCCTTGATCAAATAAAATAAGACTGATTTAATCGGCTACTTTTGGACACTTCTATGCAGCTTTCAACAGTGCTATTAGCCAGGCTTAGGCAATGAGTACATAACGCTTGTTCGTTCTGCCTAGCGCCATCCTTCACCCTGTTAAAAACACTGAAAAAACATTCGCAAAGTTTTTATTCATAATCGTTTAACAAGTTAAGCTCTGATCTTTGAATGAGCCCTTGAGAAAGTGTTGCTTTCATCCCACTGACACGTGTCCTGTCATCTTCTCATCCAGTGTCATCACTAATACTGAGGAATGGTGTTACTTCAAAGCACTGACCAAGACTCCAACTGCAGTGGAGGAGAACATGTTCCATATGAAAGAAGATGACCCAGTTCCCAGGGTTTACCTTCGGCCAAAAGAGAGCATCCACATTCCACTGAAATACCAGAGTTTCCTCTGCGACCATACCACGGCCCACCAGGTAAAGGGGCTGATCAGAGAGGGACACTTTACAGCAGGTTGTAGAAACATTGACATTATTTATGGGAAAGGAAGTGTTCTTATTACAAATGTCTTATAACTGATATTTGACAGGCTGATTCCAGAGTAAGAAATTATTTGCCAAAAGTTTATAAAACATGTATTCAGAGGAAGGCAATATGGGAATATTGAAGAAAGCTGATCTGTTTTAACTTCAATGCTGCTGACTGGAAGATGTATACCATTTGGTTTTCTTGCATTGTGAATAGATGTAATGTTTTATTTGCACTCACAAGATGCTTTTGGGTAGATTCTCAGTTGTTTCTTATCAAATTCTCACAGGGACCAAGCTTCCTGCCAAGAAGCAAAGGTTCTCAGATGGCCAAGAAGAACCCATCCAATGTTATTACTGCCAAAACCATCAAGGTACAGAGTGTCTTTCATGCCCTTTGGGATATTTACCACATGGTGAACCATGTTTATCTCGATCTGCAGTCCATAACTTCTTCATCTTGTTTACCTAGAGGCTAGAATTATTGTCATCTCTAATCTGCAGAGGGTTTTCCTGCTACTCTCAAAGCTCAAATATACAGTAATGTGTTTAAAAAAAACATACTTTGACTTTTAGAAAATGACTCTATGCCTATATGTTGCATCGAGTAGTGATAGGACAGACAACAGAGGATGATATAGACAGCTAAACTCAGGCTAGTGTACGGAGCATCTGATTCTGACTTCAGTCAGGTTTTCTTTCTGCTCCATCCCAAAGTTTAATATCTTGTGTACACACACAGTCAGACAACTCTCTGAGGAAAGGCAGCGCACTGTCTCCTCCCTCCTCTTCTCTGCCACAGACACAAAGCACGCTTTGAAGTGCCAACTCTTTACAAACTTATACTAACTAGACAAGATTGTTCAGTCAAATTTGATGCTGGAAATTGCTTTTATCTTCCTGAACATTGTTCGTTCTCTCCAACTATAAAATGTCTGAGGAATTAAACTTTCTTGAAGACGGTTTTAACTTTAAGGAGCAGTTAACATTTGGAATAAATGAGAGGGAATGTGCTTTGTTTAGGTTTGTGAGATGATACGACGCGTCCTTTACCACTTCACACTAGCAGGAAGTATCTCATGATTTCCCTGCTGTTAAGCGGAGCTTTCACATTGCACAGGGTGATGAAATATCCGCCGGTCTGGCACACACGTGTGTGTGTTTCTGGCTCCGCTTTTTGACTATTGTGAGCCAGGGTCAGTACTGCTGCCCTGAGCAAAAATCCTGTCAACAGGTCAAAGAGGTCAGCTCTGGATCAAATATGTATCCTGCTAAAGCTGACAAGCCTCAGCAGCAGAGCTGTCAGGATGCCAGCGTTTTGCTCCACTGTCAGTCAGGGCTCACCACCAGAGCCAGATATGGGCCACTCCTGCAGGTCAGCATGAGCCTGCAATTCTGACACATCAACGTTTTGGACAGCTGCTGGGCGCTCAATGAGCAAATTGGTTCAGTTTCACTCTCATTGACTGGACGTTTCAATCCTGCCTAGTTCATAATCAGAGGAGAGCAAAGTGTAGATTTGATTTCTTGATCTCCAATATTCACTTAATATGCAATATTATTCACTTAATATGCAATTCTAAAATGATAAAAAAGTAAAATGCTCCATTTTGTTTTTGGAAAGTTACATTTTTGTTGATCCTGTCTCAGAACAGACAAAAGATTAAAGGATCATCATGCAAACACGTCCAATCTTAATTAGTGTGTTAGGAACATAGTTTTTTCACCAGATGTGATACAGCTTTTAAAAGCTTTATGAATACTCATGAAATCTAACCCCAACAATCAGGAATCCGGAGGCTTCTTCAAGCAGCTGAATTTAAATAAGCGATCATCTGAAGAGAAAAAAGGCCATAAAAAGAAGGTCATTCTTTCCTTGGTTGCTATTAAGAAACAGCGAATGAAAGGAATGGAAGATGAGTGGTCAAGTTGGGGCTCCTCGAAAGTCGATTTCAGACCTCAGTTTGTCTGGAGGAAAAAAAAACTGCGGGAAAATGAAGCAGACGGGAGCGGAGGTGAAAACACTGAAATAAATTCCTTACTGGAGAAGCCATCAAAAGAAAACCTTGCCCCCAATCCTCACCACAAAATTCAGCATCAGAGGTTTGCAAATAAGCATCTTTACAAGCCAAAAGTCATGCTGAAAGCAAGTCCTTTACACTGATGTTGTTAAACTAGAACTGTTTGGTCACAACGATCAAAGGTATAGCTGGAGGGGATGCCAGGAAGATCAACTAGTTGAGCGAGTGCCCGTGTGTGGAAGCTGAAAGGCCTCTTGGCAGCTGGCTGGGATTTGAGTCCCACCTCCTGCTTCATGACATCTCCTTCTTTCTGCATGCTTCTCCATCCTTTTTCCAATGTTCACAAAGGCCCACAAAACAAAATGGAAAGAAAGTTTTTATACCACTACAGGGATGGATAGATTCAAGCAGATGCCAGCCAATTCTGGGAGGAAGCATCCAGCCACGAGTAAAAGATATGCTGAGTCTGGAAACAGAATGGCTTCTTTCATTTGGATAGTGCCCAAACATGTGCAAGTCTCTGTAAAGTATTAAACATGTGGCGCAGAGATAATTTTAATAAGGTTTGACACAGGTTCAGAGTGAACTATTCCCTTTTCTTTATCTTTTCCCCGAAGACTGGTTTAAACAGATGTTTCTCACTGGTTTACACTGAACTTCCTCGATTAACATGAGTTATGCTTAAATAACCCTGAAAACATTTTTATTGACAACACCTGAATTTTTCATTTTCCATAGTCAATACCCCATAATGACATTCCTCTCTTTCAAATAATTGTCAGGGCTTCTCCTGCTTTGTGGAAATGTCGGCTCCATGTCCCTTTGAATGAGTCTATACACTTATGGGACTCGATTTGGACAGTTTATTCAATTTTCCCTGACAGAGAGCCACTTAAGTCCTGTCAGTTCAACACAGAGGACATCAGAAGAGCCATCTGCAGTTCTCTTCACATCAACAGATGTGTTGTAATATCTGGTTAACGTCTGGGTTATGGCCAGTCTGCTGTCAGATTTCTCCTGTCAGATACCACCCAAGTTTTTATGTTTTAGTGTACAGCATGCTCCACAATATTCATTTACCTTTTAATCAAAGGTTCTCAACTGCTGCCTTTAAAAACGTGTATATTATTTTGAGCCAGACTGCCTGGGAAAAAAAAACGTGATAATGTCAGCTCTGTGCAGAGAGAGTTAATGTATTCAAGATTCCTATGAACGAAGGATATAATTGTTTTAAGTATTATCCGAAGAGAGGAAGCCCAAGTCCTAATGCTACTTTAATTCGTGTTACCTGTCCCCTGTGCTCCATGAATCTCATCACCAAAATGATAGGAAAGAGAAAATTGTAACATAAAAATTCATCAGTATGGACTTTAATCACATTTTACAGCCTAATTCCCTGGTTGGATTTTGGCCGACACTAACCTTATATACTGCTCACTTTCACATAATTATTGGACCAGTTCTTCAAACTGACAAATTGCTAATCCAGTCTTTTTAGAATATTTTTGTTGATTTTCTTTGAGTAAATGTTTTTTATGCTACTGCTCTTACACATGTCTGCAAATAAAAAAGAGATGAGATGCATAGAAGTGGAATATCAATGCGTAATATTATGGGAAAATACACCAAGACCTCTTCATTCATTTTTCTTTTCAAAAGTGATGCTTTTGCAAAGCTCCGTCTTCTGAAGTGAAGACAGAGCTTCAAACCAAGCTGCTCTGATGATTAAAAACTATTGCAACAGCAAGGAATGTCTAACATCAGGCAGGGGAATGGCATGCTGTTAGTGTTGCTGACTTGTCACCTTTTTCTCCACAGGTCACATTCAAAGCAGAGGATGGCAAGCCAATGGCCATCTGCCAAGTGAATGTGGAGCCAGTGCCCCACATTGTGGGTCAGACTTTCCGACTCTACCACCCAGAACGTTGTTTCCTTAAGAAAGCCATCCGCGTGTCATCCTGCATCGATCCCGCAGGTCGATCGTGATCATGCATATGTTCCTTATCATTAATTACGTCACATAAGATACATTCTATCTTTTCTCGAACTGTACATGTTAACTATCTCTGGTTGTTTTACTTGTGTTAACCAGATGGAAGCTCAGATTTTATCTCTGTGCGCTGCAGCGATCCTGATGTTATCTGCCAGACCAGGATGCTGGTGAGAAAACCTTATTCTCTGGGATGTTTCAGTTCCAACTACAACGGAAATTAGAAAAAGTATATTTATACATATTTATATACATATATATATATATACACATAGAGAGAGACAGAGAGAGAGAGAGAGAGAGAGAGAGAGAGAGAGAGAGAGAGAGAGAGAGAGAGAGAGTGCAAAAAATTGGAGATATACGTCCTGGTTTACAGCCTGTTTTACACAGCTGCTGCATCTGTGCATCTGTGCCCCACCCTGGGTTTTTATAGCAAGTTGTAGGCTTGAAGTGAATCAGGAGAGACAAATTAGTTGACTGAAAAGTCCTGAAAGTCCTGAAAGTAAGAATCGGTTTTGTTTGAATTCTTTATACCACCCCAACTTTATCTAGTTATCGCAAGGGGACTAATATCTAACTTCATAAATAACCCCAGTCATGAATTGCAATGTTGTTTCGGCCTTTAACGTTACACAGTTCGTGACATGAATGTGAGGTTTGTTTTTTGCCTCTTTTTAGCCTTTCATTTGAAAATCTCTCTGTTTCTTTGTAGGTGCCAGGGGAGCCTCAGGATGTGTACTTGAAAGTGCCTGGGAATCCCAGTCCACACATAAAAATGTTCTTTGTAATGGTTTTCACGTATGTATCATTTGCACAGTCACAGTGTACACACGGAACACAAACACAACTTAGCCTGGAGACGCCTTCCGATTTGACTAATTAAAATGTTCGCAGAGGCGTGAATTAATTTACTAATCACATGGCAGTTTAGTGGCCTGCCTGCCTGGAGTTACTGAATCTGTCCCCTCATCTTCCTAATCTCCGTCATTATTATGCACACCTTGTTTGTGCCTTCAGGAACATCAAGTGTTTATCATTTGACTCTTATGTCATGGGTATGATAAAGTTTTGAAGGGCTGCATACTTTCTAGTCATTATTTTTCCAAATAGTCTCATTGTAAACTTGAAGCCGGCTAAAATACCTCATAAAACATTCAAAGTCCCATAAAAATAATGACTCCTGCTTTCCTTTTGTTGGTCAATATGGATGTAAATTGCACATCTTTTGCACATGCAAGGGTCTAGTTTTTCCCACAATACAGGATAGAGAGCTGCTCGTTTCATCACTGGTTAATCTTTACTTGTGGTCAAGAAATCCTTTGAACTCTTTTGATTATTTCAGAGCAGAATTGTGGCTCTTTGTCAAATCCCCAGCTCCTCCTTTCCACATCCAGGAGTGTAATTGGGAAAGACATTGAACCCCAAGCTGTTCGTAATGGTGGGCACACACCTGGCGTGACAGCTGTGTCATCTACTGCTGAGTTAGAGCGCGTGAGAATGGATTAAAGATAGCCAAAAAACGTGAAGTGCTTTTTAAACTTGCAGGGTAAAAATGGGCCTGCTTACACTTCGTTGCAGATGTAACTCTCACAGGCGTGTGATCGTGAAACAGGGCCTATGGGAGAAAGTAAAATAACTTTGATCAACTAACACAGGCACAGCCTGCTTATTTCAATACAGATTAAGCAACTTATAATGAAGATGATCATCAGAAATAAGCATAGAATTGCCAATGAATCACAAAGTTAAGACTTGGAAGCCCGTAGCTCACAGGTGCTGCATGAATATGAATCTGAGTGCTGGTTCAGTACAAATATTTTGGATGTGGGCTTTGTTAATGAGGTTTACTTTTATTAAAAAGACATAAGCCTGAGTCAGTCTAACCAGATACATTTTTTCACCATTCGGAGTCAGCTGAGTGCAGGGTAGTTGGACTCCTGGATATGTGATGGGAAGTTTCACCAAATTACAGCTTGCAATGCTCTGACACAGAATGATCAGGCAGGTAAAGTAACATTTGATGTCTATCTCAATTATTCACATCGTCAGCGACACAAATGTGTGTTCAGGAGCTCAAAGTGTGAATGAGCCAACAAAAGCTCATCAACCTGAAACTCCTCACAGGTCAGTGGGAACTTAAGAAGCCTCTGGGAAACATCTCCAACAACCATGAACTGTGTCCACTTGCCAAATTGTGGACTCTGAAAGAACACAAGAAAAAATTTTCACATTTTGCCTTGTAAAATACTCTCAGTTATACAAACTGCTGAACTATCACAGACAATCTGACTGGCTGCTGAGATTTAGGGGTTTCAGGGTCCTGGAGGGTGTCTTTTTGGAAGGAAATCTCAGGAAATTACTGATAAAAGCTACAGTATATCATTTGTATGTGTAAAAAGGCTATTTGGCATTCATAATTTAAAAAGTGTCCCTCATTAGCAGGTTCAAATTGTGCAGATCTCTTTCCCGCCCTCTGAAATCAAGCAAATTCCATTCCAAATATTCCCAAATGCTCCTTGAGTGCTGTTGTTTCAAAGCAGAGCTGAGTAGGTGACAACATTGCCTCCATATTTTAGAGTCAGCCTGGACCTCTGAGACTCCATTCCCTTCATCTCAGCAGTGAGTGGATGATGTTTCTGCTTATTAAAATGCTAGTACAGCCATAGATCAGCCCTGCTCATTTCCAACCTCATGCTACACTGACTACACCTCCAGGGAGCCTCAGCTTAATTGTTCTTGATTATGTTTTTGTTCTTTTTCTTTTCCTTTTTTTTCCTACTTCACCAGGGATAAGTGGATGGCAGCGCCGTCTCAGATCTGGCAGATTTACGTGCATTTTCTGGAACGAGTGGACATCAGCTGTGTGACGGGCCAGCGGAGCTGTCAGTCAGTAGTTCTGAGGGGGAAACAAGCTGTCCGCAAGGTCAAGTGTTTCTCATCACACCCCAAGGAGATTGAGGTATATTTACCACTGGTTCCACTATTTAAGTTTGCAAGTCAAAGGCCATTTAATGCTATTATTAGCCTTCATTTTATAATGTGCTATATCTCTGTATCGAGATAAAGCTAAAGAGAAATATGCTCTTAGCTGTGTGTGAGTTTTTCAGTTCTTCATTGCTTTTCTATGAAGCAACCAATACAGGGAGGATTATTGAGGGGGAGCGTACTCCTTGTTTTGGAGCACATGTGTGTCTTTTGGAAAACCAGCTGTCCTTTAACTGATGTAGCATGATGCTCCCTGCAGAGTTGGTTTATGTGGTTCTGCCTGAGTCAGTAGGCATGAAAAAAAAAAAAAAAAATACCACCACTGACTTGCTTCTTAACTTAAAATGGTTGTCTCAATTATTCCCTTCACTATTGAAGTTCATGCTATTAAAACATTTTACTGAGACATGGTTGTTCACTTCGGTGTATTGTAAAAGAACAGCTGAAATGATTTGCAGTCTGCACATTTAACGCTGAGCCATTTCTCACTCTTAGAAGGCCATTGAGGTAAACAGAAAGAATTAACTGGATGAATATCTGTAACAGATGATGGATAATGTCCGGTTTTTTATCATCATAACAATGTGCAGTAAAGCAGAAATTATGACATAATTTCATAATGACATAATGCCGATAAAGAACTATATTTGAAAAAGTCAATTATTCTGGGTTGTGCTAACTGAGCATCACCCATAAGTTGTTGATAATAAGGTTAGCATGCTTGGCTAGAGACGAAAAGTAAACATAACAGTTTACTATCACTGCTGTTTTGACAAAGCACTCCTGGATGATTTCACTTTGAGTGTTGCTGCTATAAACCATTACCAATTTGCATAGTTGACAGAGCACGTCATTGTAAAGTATCAGTCCAAAATCCTCAAATATTAATGTGACCATGTGTGAGGTTATTATTCTTTATTTTTAGCCGCTCTGCCAACTGGACGCAAACATTTTTGCAATATGCATTCATCATAATCAGTTAGATTACCAGGTTTTGCCATATTAACACGGCCACTCTCTGTGTGCAGTTCAATTCATAAATCTAGATTTTCAGCTTATATGCAAAAGTCTGAGTCCATGCAGCAAGCAGTAGTGGTTCAGATTATATTATTGTAGTTGGCATCCTCTACACATTCTTTATTTTCTCCCTTTCCATTTCCCTTTTCACACAATATTGAGACACGAGGGACAATGGACTAACATCCCCGTCATCATAAGTTTGTGGGTTTGGATGCATTTTTCGATGTTAGAATATTGCTTGAAAACTGCATGCCCAAGCTAAAACGTGGCTCTAAAATCCAGACACTATTGTCCTCTGTTGGAGTCTTTCACTCCACCTCTGCCTGGTTTTGTTATGACAAAGCTGACACAATACGGGGTACAGCACAGAACAGAGTAAAAAAAAGCAAACCATTAATCATAATAGCCAAAACCATATCTCAATTCTTCCAAATCTAATGAGAAGTTGAAAGCATTGCTGCTGCCAGGCTTTTTTTAGGAGAGCAAAATGATTTCTGCTAATTGTTCTTCAAGCTGCATGACACAATGGAATAGCAACAGTCTTCTTTGTAATAACCGCAGGTTAGAATTCAAGTCATTATCAAGAAAGTACAAAAGCAGACTGACAGCATAATTTGTCTTTTTTGTCATTTTATTTCATTTCATGGGGTACCGTTGTTTTTTTGTTTCTTTGCGATTATGTCATATTAGAATTGAACACATCTGAAAAATTAACAGTGGCCTTAGTTCACTGCAAGTAGGAGATGTCTTCCAAGCACGTCAGAGTGCCTTCATTTTTAATGGATTGTTTCTTATTCATAAGTGAGCACGAGAGTGAGTTTGAGGTTGCTTCTTATCCAGAGCTTCAGTAAAAGGCATTTCATTAACCTTGCTGATATTCTTCTTGAAAAAGTGATGGACAGTGGCAGTCTCAATGCGAGCACACTCTCCGACCCAAACATGTTTTCACTAAAGAAAAGGGGAACTGTCTGAAAAAGCGACAGATGTATTTTTAAAAGATTTCACCATATGCATCAGTGGCAGCTTTGATCTGATTCTCAGCAGGTTTGGCTCACTGTGGAGGAGTCTTACAAAACAGGATAAGGCTCAGCGTCAGAGAATAGCTTTGCTTTTCTCAACAGATTGAAAAAGAGCTGCACAGTAAATCTCATCTTCATTGTCTCTCTCATTACATTGTCTGTCCCCTCTCTTTGGCTTTTTTCACTGAACCTGACTCGACCCCCTCTCCCACCCACTGCCCTATAATCTTAACAGCTTCTTTACTTCCCTCTGGCTCTTTTTTAACAACACATCTCATTAGTTTTGTCCTTTCACCTCTCCTTTTCCTTTCTGTGTCACACTCTGTCTGTCACTTGGTCAATGGCTCCATTTCTCTTTATTGTGTCCTCCTCATTCTCATAACCCATCCAATCAACATCTTGTCACCTTGTTGCCAGATTCAATCAACCTTGAATGCACTCACTTTCTGTGTAGGTGGACCCGGGCGGAGTGTTTGTTCTGCCTCCAGCTGCGGTGCAGGAGCTCCAGCTGAAGGTGCAGCCGTGGCGGGCGGGCAGCCGCTTCCTGTATGTCAACGCGGTGGACGTGGAGCAGAGAAGTCTGGTCACGGCCTGGTTGCTCTGTCTCAGTGTCCACCGACCTGTGCTATCCAAAGTAGGCATTTCTCTGATCTCCTTTTTTTTAAATATCCACATCTTTTAAAGAAGAACCATGCTCCCATTTCCACAGAGCAGAACATTATTTCCCTGTTCATGCGCTTCAAATTATACTCTTTTATGGTTTTTGACTGTAGTTTGCTGCATTTTACCGTGCCTAGAGATGAAAATAACACGTTGTTGGCACATTCCAATGGAGAAAAACTATGCAAAGCATAAAAAAAGTTAAAAAATGAGGAAAGAAAGGAGATAAGCATTAAGGTTTGTGTTTACCCTGAACACAAAAACCTGAATCTGCTAAAATTCTGGCAATGGCTGGGTTGCATTATGGATGCATTCATAAAATGAAAGAATAAAGAAAGATCTTTCCATCCATTAAAAAACTGGGGGAAAAAACAGTGGTATGATGCACGGCTGCCCAAAATCTCAAATTCAAACCCACTGATGACTCAGGAGGCTTTCAGAGCTTGAGTGCTTCAGTTGCCTGGGTCAGTTAGACTTCTCCCACCTCCCTTTTGCCAAGTAAAGGATAAGTGCAGCTGAACCCAAGTCAGCACTAACAGCCGAACCATTCTATACCTGCTGTCTACCTTCCTGACCTAAGTTTCTAAATGCCTGACAGGCTTTTTACCCGAGCGGCCAGCAATCAGCCACGCAATTCACATGACCCAAACCAAAACATGATGATGATGTTCAGCACAGATATTAACCTGCAGTTAAATCATCATCGTTATGGTGAAGTGAATGATGAATAATGAAAACTGAAGCTTTCACAAACAACCAAATTAGCAATTAGCAAGCAATCAGTGCTTTATAGTGGTCAAACCCTTAAAAAATTCTTGAAATCCAACAAATCCACTTGGAATTTAAATCAAGGCATGAAAATGACCTTGTTAACCTACCATATTATTATTTTCCTCATATTAAGATATCCCTTAGCCTCCTGAGTCCCAGCATCCTCATATGAGGACGTTAGATTTTTGCCTCTCTTTACCATGACGCTTAATTCTTTTTTTACCTCTTTTTTTTACCTCTTGGCCTCATCATAGATTTTCAAATCTACAATAAAATGGTTTTAAACATTTTCAACCGATTGTGTAGTTAAAATGTTTTTATAAAGTCATTTGGACCTTCAGAACCACATTGCAGAGTAAACTTTTAGATACATAAATACACGTCTAGTTATTAAACTAGAAGTCGAAAAAACTAAAGGTCCTACTAGTGCCATACATCTTGGAGAAAGCAAAAATGCACACCTTGTGAAAAAAAAGCTTCATTCTCCGGAGGTTAAAAAGACCTTGCCCTTCCCCCCCATTCCTGAAAACAATACTGCGCCTTGGGGTTTGAAACCTGCTTATAAAGCTAAAACTGATCTTAATGATTTAGTCAATAACCAGTGGTGGAGCAAATCGTCTGTGTGTGTGTGTACGTATGCAGGCATTTGAAGTGTGTGTCCCGGTTGGAGGCGGGCGGGGCAGCTCCAGGAAGATCACCTACACCAACCCTTACACCAGCAGCCGGATGTTCCTGCTCCGCTCTGACCACCCGGACCTGCTCCAGTTCAGGGAGGACAAGTTCCAGGTGAGGCCAGAGAAGGAGCTATTCAGGTCTTTCCTTCTTGTTCAGAAAAGAAAATCAATACTTTGATTAAAACACTGACAAAAAACCTCTTCAGGTGGGTTATTCGGATTAATGGCACTGTGCTGTGAACAGGCTGTAAATAATGTCAATGAAATGAGTTTTAATGGGCAGAACTGCTGACCCTGCAGGATGTGCATGGACGGAAAGAGAAACGTCCCTCGTTACACTGCCTGCATAGACAGCTGCGTTAGGGATCTGTTGGAAACACACCGTACTAATCCATGTGGCATTTTCTGTGGACGTAAACTGCAACAGAGACGTTTCTGTTGGAGCATTGAACAGAGTGAACAGTGTTCTGCTCTGCTGAGATTGTAGCCCGTTATCGGCTTCAGAATCGTCCATGCAACTCTCCTGTTGTTGCACCGCTCCACCTGAGAGATACTCTCGTATTTTGAGTCAAACTTGACCGACTTTCTGAAATTTTAAAATCAAACTGTCTGAATAGTTCAGCAGGTAAACACATATATGTAACTACAAACTGCAAAATGGCTTCCGCTTTCTCGTCATCCCGATGGGGAGATTACAACCATAATGATTTCTAGCCTCTCTGTCTTACTGTTAGTTTCTCGGGCCTTGTAAAAGTGATTTGGCTTCCGTGTCTGCTCCGAGCAGAACAGATTTGGAAGTTAGAAATGCTGCTGTTTAACCGTAATAAAGGTCTGTCTCAGTATGTCTTTCCAATTCACTCGCTAACCACCAGAGCTGCTTCCATCGGTACCTTTCCTTTGCATAACATGTCATAAAATAAACAAATGTCACACCACTGTTTTAACTATGAAAATAGATAAAAACAAGAACAACAACAACAACAAAATTAGTCATGCAGTTGTTGGCCTGAGGCCTCTGCTTCATAAAAGGCTTTGGACAGAGTAAAAAATAGCCCTCTGTTTATTTTTTCTCCTTTGTCAGCGAGTCTCCAGGTGTCTCATAAAGTATTTCCTTTGCTTCAAGTATGTAACAAATGTGGAGATCCTTTTCTCTATTTGCGCATAACCACCTCAGTCTAATAAAACCTGCCGTCAAGAGGAAACGCAAAGAAGAGATCAATACAGCTCTGCCTTACAAAAAGATTACAGCGTAAATCCTCCAAATTGACCCATATTTCTCCCGAAGATATTAAAAAGAAAATACGGGAAGACACTTAATGTCTGATTGAACTACTGAGAACAAACAAAAAACAAAAAAAAAGCAAATGAAGACCTTGCGAGGCATGAACCTTGACAAGAACAGCATTACAACGTTCAGGGCTGTCTCCATTTAATTAGAGAGAAGAATAATTAAAATTGCAGCCCTTCATGGAGAAACCAGTAATTTAGAGAGAAATAAATAAAAACTGTGTGGTCTTAGGTGGTTGGTACAACTGAGAAAGCAAATTATTTAGTCTTTCTTTGAGCATTAATTGCCTTATCTTAGAAAACACAGAGAAACTCTTACACTGTGTGCACAGTTAAATATTTTTACTTAAGGCATTCCTATTCTGTAAAATATGTTATTCATTAAGTAGATTAATCGCTTCAAATCACACAAATCAAAATAATGCCACCATGAGAACAAATTGGCTGGCCTTTGCTCATAGTCACAACAACCTCTGTTGTCCACTGGCGGAAATGGTGCGGAAATTTCTGTTGTGTCCATACAAATGTTTTTCTGTAGCAGATATACTGAACAGAAGGTTAGGGCATCAGATTACACATATTAGCAATAGCTAATAAGAATTTAAAATAACCAACTTATACAAAAGAGTAGGCTACACTTTGCATACAGACAGGTAACACATTTCTTGGGGTTCTTTTTAAAAGAGAATGCACCCCGGGTAAAGTTTTTCATGTTGACTATGTTCAGATTGGCGGGGGAGAAAGCTACACCATTGGATTGCGATTCGCCCCCAGCCAGAGTCCCGGTTTAGCAGAGATCCTGGTCTATGTGAACAACCTGGAGGAGAAGACAGAGGAGACCTTCTGTGTAAAGGTCAACTACTCATGAGCCGAAGATTTTTCCAGAAATGCTGAGTGCTTTGTTTACTGTATGCGTTGGATGCTAATGTATTAGCTGAATATTTTGCAATAAACCAGTTTTCTTATTGTATTCTGTTTTATATGGGTTTTTTTATAGTCTGCACTGTGTGAATGAGCTTTGGTGGCTGGCTCGACCATTTAGTTTCAGACAAATGTACTTCCTCTGAAAGGCTTTGCACACAGTTTAGTTGTTATATATGAGACCATTTTTGTACTCAGCGAAGCAGCAGAAGATTTTCAATTTACATTTGTTGTCGAGGCTAATTCCAAGTTGCGAGCTGTCCTCTGAAGTGTCCGGTTCAAGCCCAAACCATCCAAATGGACGCAGAGAGTGAAAGCAAATAATATTTCTTCCATTTTAATTAGCCAGCAAACCCACTTGAATGCCACTTGACAATTGAGTTTTAATCTAAGACAAGCCAGGGGGCCACTCTCCGTGTCCCGCGACTTTCTAAACAACTTATCCTCATCACCTACATTATTAGCCACGCGCTGTAATGAGGTATGATTTTTCAGCGAGGCGCGCATCTCTTCACATCGCCCTCATTAACAGCAGCCCCCTTTTAAACCCTCCGCACTCTCCCCCCTGCTTGCTTCACTGTGTCACCCTGTTGGAGCTGCTGAGATACAGAGAGAAGGCCATGCATATTGTGTTATGTAACACAGAGTTACACAATCCCTCCACCCCCCCACTCTCCCCTCCCTCCCCGGTTTGCTCTCATTAGAATGCAGGCAGAAAAATAAGCCTCAGCACAGCAGCAAAGCCTAATAAAAAAAAATAAAAAAAATAACAAAGATAGCGGCTAAGCCGTGTGCACTTTATCTTCACCTTCTCTAACATCTCCAAGCCTTAACATCCTCTGTGTTTTGTGTTAATGTGTTTAAATCTTAGGAAGATGCACATCAGAGCTGTATTTGTCACATCCTTTTCACTGTGTACCCTACATTTTCACCTCCTAACATGCTGAACGAAGTACCAGTCGACGTTAGACCTTTAGCATGAAGGGATGTGTTTCAGTTTCTAAGTCTGTTTTCCTTCTGTCCTGAAAGCCATACGTGATATTTGAGCTGCAGGTATTCCACCTAGTTATTAAGTAAATCCTCTTTTATATGGCTGTTATGCAAAATGCAAAACAAAGTCCTCTTTGGCAGGAATACCAATGCAAAGATTAGATGATGCTATGATGATGCATGAGCTGTCTAATTTAGCAGTTTGTTTCGGCCTTTTTTCTGGATGATACGTCCTTAATGCTTTCGGCCGACAAATTAGCCCTCAACCAATAAACAACTTGATGAGCAAAGCCACGGGGGGATGATGGCAGCAAGATTTGCCGGAGCACACCGGACCGTGCGCTTGTGGTGATGTGGTCATGTGGAAGCCACACTGTGTGAAGTGGACCTTATTATCAGGGGATTATTTAATTTCTGGGTTAAACACTGATACCATGACTCATAATTCATTTTCCCTTGTTGTGGTCATCATACCAGGTGGAAGACACATAATGCAAACATAAGTACCACAAACTCTTCCTTGTTATTTAGAGTATTGCATAGTAACTAATATTTAATGACTTTAGCAGCATTGCATGATGCATACTACTGACTTGGTTCATCTGAAATGGAGTAAAAAGTTCATTAAAAAAGTTTTAAATTAAGTTTAAAAAAAGTCAACCATTTTTTTTGTTTCCAAAATCTTCATGTGGCCTGATAATGACTTTCAGGAGATATATTTCTTTTCACAAGTCTCACATATGCTTCTCATGAATAGAGCCCAAGGTTATTCAGGTTGGCTGTTGAGTAGTTACTGACTGAATTTGTTCATGTTTTATTTTGTTTTTAGGGGCATGTTCATGTTTGCTGTTTTCTCTTGGACAGGAGGTTATTTTGTTTTGCATTGCTCTCCATAATCATTATGATAGGATGTTCACACTCTCAAGACCGAAGGCCTTCTCAGCTGCAAATTTAATTCACATCTAAATATACATACATACATGTGTGCTCTGGGCTTTGTTTTTGGGTTATTATTCACGGAGCTTTCTAAAATCTTACTTTTACCAGCCAAACACAGAACACTTCTAACTAAGGGTATATGGGAATGTTCTAGGAAGACAAGCTTAAAAAATCCAAGCGTGTCCTTCGAATGGCAGCACCGGTGACCAGTGACCAGTGACCAGTGACCAGTGAGGTTCTGTTTTACAGCCACCTCCCAGGTGCTTCCTTGTGTCTGTTGGGGTTGAGATTGAGAGTAACCATCATGTTTCCACGGACAACTGCCTGGCCGTGGAGGACATTTCCTGCTGCTGTCCATCCCGAATTTGGGCAGATAACTAGAGTATCTCTGACCGGAACGGGATGCTGTTCTGTGTGTGAAAGTCTAATATCTGGACCCGGGTCTTTTCAGCAGCCTCAACGTGAGCTCAATAGCGGCTGTTTCAGCGAGGGGCCGAGCTCTGCTGACTCCTTATTAGCGGTGCCAGTCCAGGGGCTGTTGGTTCCCTCTGAGAGAGCACAGACGCCCGCCACAACAGCTCCCGCTGTCTGCTCACCTTGTTAGTGCGCTCATTGCCTCTCTGCCTTGATATTTAGCCGGGTGTCTGTTTTCGCTCCGATTCGAACAACACCGAGGCTACAAGCTGGCGTCTGTGTTTCAGAAAAGACCGCCCCTGTGTGTAGGTGCCTGGCCTGAGCCCGTGTGAGTGGGCGCACGTCTGTGAAAGCATACAGCGGCGCACGCATCAGAGCGGTTTGGAGCTGAAGGAATATGCAGCCTAGCAACCAGCCCTCCTCCTCATGTGCACCTCTGGTTTGGTTCAGCTCTACGGCAGAGAGGAGTTTGCTAATACGACTGCAGTACACTTCAGATTGAAAAGATACATCACAACAAAGGCAATGATTACATGTTTTTTTTTTGTCGGAGAGGAATTGAAGGGAAATTTCAAGTCCGGGAGGAGAGTTGATGTGGGAGGTGGAGCTTTTGGCAAACTGGAATTCACTTACCTTGCTACCCACCTCAGCAGGAGCCTCTCTCAGCCATGGCTGCCGAGCACAAAGGGGAAACGTGTTCGGCTGAGAGAGACTCACCGTTTATGTGGCTGCATCCAGCTTGAATATTGTTCTCAGCAGATGGCAGCCTCACACACACACAGCAAACTCCTGCAGCCTCCACAGCCAACTTTTCTTCCACAGCAGTGGAAATTAAACAGTTTGTTAAGCTGACCTTTGACTTTATAGCATCACAACCAACAAATAGCTTTTCTATGCCTCTATGTAATGTTGTTTTTCCGTTTTATTTGAAATCAGTCTAAGGTAAACTTTTGTTTCATGAATGAAATAATGACCTCAGCAGAGTTTTGCCTCCTTTTCCTTTCCTCTTTTTACTTCCTCTGTGTTTGGTGTTGCTGCTCAAACCTCTAAAGCTTGGCTCTGGTTTCTGTGAAAAACTGTGTGACAGGATATGTCACAGTCACCTGCTGACTCCTGGGAACATGGAAACTTTGCTTGAAAGATGGCCAAAGACATGAGCAGTTTGTTGATATGGATGGGAAAATACATTTTTTTCCAATTAAAAATCTCTTTCGGTTTGCAGACTACTTCCTGCTTGACTACTGGTTCAACACGTTTATTTTTTTGTTTTTAAAAAAAATCTGTATAATCTATGTAGCTGTTGGGGAACTTTGTTGACCTTTCACTCCATTTCATGGTCTTTTGGGCTCACCAGCCCCCTGAGATATCAGCTAATACTTTACAGGCTGCATTAAACTCTAATTTTACCCAAGAAATCGCCTCACAATTGTGATGTCTTCAAATAATAAATATATTCCCCTAAACTCACTGGTCCTATTCATATTAAAAGCCCCATTTCGGACACAAAACTTCATTCTCTGAAAAATAAACACACAGGTTTTATTTGTAATAACGGAACATAAATAAGAAAATGTGAATTAAGTAAATCACAGAAAAAACATGCTTTCTAAAAGCCCAAATTGAAAGTGTAGATTAGTTTGGGTTTTAAAAAAGAGAAAAGGACGGTTACAGTGGGAGGTAAGTAAGATTGAAAGCTGAACCAGATAAATTGATTTTCTCCCCATCCGCCTTACTTTAAAGTCATACTTCTTTAGTAAAAGAGAAATAAAGAGAGAACCCTTTCCTTTGCTTTGAAAACCAATACATGTATTTTGCACACTGTCTATTGAGTCCTGAGCCAAAAGAAAGGATTCTTTGGGTCTGTGCCCTCTTAAGATATCTGATGACAGACAGTTCCACAAAGTGAATGACCGTAGGACATGACGGGCTCTGAAAACATCTCTGTGTTTGCATGGATTTACTTTGTCCTCAGATTTGAATGTCTATTTCAGTCCGTCCATGCAAGATGAGACATCACAGTGAGCTGAGTTCCAGCCACATCCATCAGATTTACCTCTGCTGGTCGTTAAAGGGACAAAGGGAATTACAGACTCTGGAGATTTCTCTCAGAAGAAAATATGCTCTTTGGAATATTACTTTTTGGGGCTTGTTAAATGAAAGGTCTGGATCAAAGGTAGCATTGAGATATTAACATATGCCCTTTTTCAAATCATGAAAGTCACAAGCAGTGAGAGAAAGGCTTGATCCAAATGGCTGGATTTCTTACTGCTTAACAGTTAAATATCGCCACAGAGAGGAACTTCTTAGTTTAGACTGAATCTTTTCCACTCTGGTTCAAATCTGTTCCTGAGTTGTGAGCACTGAAATTAGATTATTGCTAATAAATGCATATAAACCAGTTTGCTAATAGGACTTTGAGGTAGAGTAGTGTGAAAGGGGAGGTGTGGTATGTGTATATATTTGTAGGCAATAGGTTTGAAGGGCCTCACTTGAGCCAGAGATATTTGACCTGGTGGCTTCAGTCCACAAGATCCCCAGCCAAACACGACATCACTATTCAAGGAAAGACTCAAAACTGAAAATTAGCCAGATTGTAAATATAAA